GCTTGGATGCCGACAGTCCCCCGGCCATCGGGACACCATTGGTCGGTTATAGGGTGCACGAATAACGACAGAAAGTGTCGAATACTGTCCGAGAACCTACGTAGCTTGCACGGAATCCGGCAAAATGTAGGACCGGTAGGCGGGACGCTACGATCCCTACAACCAGGGACGGCGCCAAAGGGAGGCGAGGGGTGGCGGACGCCTCCCCTAAAATTTGTCCTGCCACCCCAAAAATATGCCAGCCTTTACACCCCCCCTCGCACTAATTTTCGCGCGCAGACCCGCATACGCTACATGGCTCGTCATTTTGCTAATTTCCTCGTCCCATAGAAAAGGCACTGGCTTGAAGGATAGCCAGCCTGAAGAGGTCTCATACCGGACGTTTCGAACTTTTTCGTGCCGTCCGCTTTATTTTCTTTACGCACCCCGTGAAGAACGATGCATGAATATTTGTATGGCTTGCCGAAGCTAAGGTGCGTCGCCTACAACTCAATTTCTCTGTCGCCAACCATAAAATACTTCCTGAAAGTAGCTTCACCCAAATGATTACTCGGAGAGACTTGAAATCCCATCTGCACTGCACCGTCGCTTCGTACCTGCCAGACAAAGGAACTCAAGGGCACTGTTCATGTTCTGACCGAGGAAATCTCCCAAAGTCCTGACACGCTCGGCCCGAATCCGGGTTCCCAAGGGCGGCTTTGATGTGTCTAGGTCATCCTGCTTATTTCAAGTCTCTATGGGGTCCTTGAAGCAACTTTGGTGAGCCTGGCGGTTCGAGAACTGCCATGCTCCCATCATTAGTGACCCTTGGGCAGGCACGGAGTCCCTTCGAGGGTCTATCCCTCGAGGTTGGAGGAAAGCTGAAAGTGTTTCTGTATTGTGTGTGTGTGTGTGTGGGGGGGGGGGGGGGGGGGGGGGGGGGGAGGGGAGGGAGAGGGGGGGAGGGGGGAGGGGGGGAGGAGAGGGAAAGAGAGATAGGGGGGGAGAGAGGGAGGTAGGGAGGGAGGGAGGAAAACAGTGGAAGTGCTGTATTTTGACAGAGGGCTATCGAAACTGGAAGAAAGCTCTTCAGAAGGAAGGAGGACTACGATGCCACTCCAACAGTGCGGCACGCAAGATGTCCCAAACATATCGGCTTCCTTCAAGGAGATGAAGAAAAGTGGCGCGGCTAAACAGTCGCCGTGTACCTTTGCCAGGCGTATTCAGCAAAGAAGGGAGAATCGTCACTACATCTACATGATCGCTGACGTGCTCCGGTTTTAGGGGACTGCCTAAAGAGCAGATGATGAGTCACGACAAGCGTGAGCGTGCTTATTTAGTATTGCGGAATGTAAACATGCTTGAATATTTTGCAGGTGAAACGCTACATTAACCAGAGTTTTACATAGGCTGTAAAATAATGAAATAAACTGAGCGGATTTCTATTAAAAACTCCCTAAGTGCCAAGTTATCGTCCCTGGATGTTTGTTCTTTTAGTCGGATCGAAAGCTCATGCCTCCACAAAAATGCCGTGCGCCTCCCTACTGCCCCCTCACTAAGAAAAGCCTGGCGCCGTCCCTGCCTACAACATCACTCGCAAGGCGACATCTCGAATGGACGGCCGTATTTTTGAAAAAGAGGTCGAGATTGAACGAGGCCGACGAGGCGCGTGACGTCAACATATTTCGTTTCCTCCTCTCTTCGCTTCGCCCCTTCAAGGCAGCGAGGCGAAAAAAACGGGAGGCCGTTTCGTCTCCTTCTCGACTCTTCTCGGAGAAACGACATCAACATACCTGTCAAATGCGCCTCCTTTTTTAAAAACATACGGTCATCCATTCGAGATATCGCTGTATGAGTGATCTTTTGGTGTTCGTATCATCCCGTTGCACGCTTCTGCCACCGTGTTTTGTGGAATCCAGATTTCGGTTCAGCATCCTCGCTTTCCCCATGAGTCATTACCCCCCTCTCCGGCGGCAGCGGGTTGCGTCCGTAAAACGAAAAGATAGACTCTTCCTTAACGCCACCCTCTCAACTGTGCTCGGAACATTTTGTGAATGGAGTGCGCACCGAACGCTGCACCGCCGACGAATATGGCGTACACTCGCAAGATGCGCGTAAGTTTTTTCGTGACAATTGTTGTTTCAGATTGTAAATTTTTGTAACTGAATTAATATTTATATTTTGAAATGGTGACACTGGCCCAATTTTATTATCTACAGGGTGAAACAAGGAGACGGTAGGCTCTTTAAATCGACCGGAAAATTCGGTTTCTTAACCTATCGCGCTACGACTTTGTGCAGCGTTGCCCACAGATGGTGATTTTTTTTTTTTTTTTGTAAGATTTGCAAAGAGCGAACTTACCTGAGGAAAAAGTAAAAAAAGAAAAAGGCTTAGCTCCTATGGAAACACAGCGAAGCTACCGGTCTTCAAACAACACGGCGCCGTTTCGCACGGGAGACAAGAGATGGCGCAAGCGGTCGCGACGCCAACTGCCACCAACGAACGAGCAGACGACGCCGAGAGCCGCCGTAGTTAGCAGACAAGGAACTGCAGTTCCTCGTTGTTACCGCGCCTGTTTTTGTTTCTGCGGCTGTCGCCAGCTGCGGAACGCGCGTCGCTTGAGTCGAAAAGATTGTCTGCTAAAGACGCTGGCTCTCGGCGCCGTATGCTCGTTCGTTGGCGGCGTTCGTTGCGCCATCTCTTGTGTCCCGTGCGAAACGGCGCCGTGTTGTTTGAAGACCGGTAGCTTCGCTGTGTTTCCATAGGAGCTAAGCCTTTTTCTTTCTTTACTTTTTCCTCAGGTAAGTTCGCTCTTTGCAAATTTTACAAAAAAAAAAAAAAATGCACCATCTGTGGGCAACGCTGCACAAAGTCGTTGCGCGAAGAGCCTACTGTCTCCTTGTTTCACCCTGTACAACACTTAGTTGAAGGCTCATTTTTGCCGCCGGGTGTGGCTGGAAATTGTCGAAAAGTTAGTTCTATCGGTTTTCCTGAATCGCGATCTCCTGCGCGATACCAGAGAGCCGTGAATCTATGTCGACCGTCACAGCGCGACTATATTCTTCTTATTTTCAAAATTAGTATCTAATGTAGTTGGAAAGAAGCCTTCAATTTCTGCTGCTGAAAGTTGAAACATGCTCATGCATCGATTTCAGACGACACAGCTTTCGTGTCGTCTGTTTTGAATTCTCGGCAAAAGACACACTCGTCGACACGGGATTCTGAAATAAAACGTTTTCAACGTTTTATCTGAAGTTCCCCCTCCTCCGTTTCCTCTCTACCTTCCCCTCTTCCCCCTCTTCCTCGTCCTCCACACGTGACTCAATTTTTCCGCTAAATCTAGAGGAGAAACTGAATTTCTTCATAGGTGACGTGACACCAAGTCATGTGACGTCATTTTCATCGCTAAATTTCGCGGGGAATTGTAATGGTGTTCAGGTCACATGACGTCAATTTTTCCGCTAAATTTAGCGCGGTTACGCCGACACCGACGGAGACGCCGACAAAGACGCTGACGCCGCTCAACCTGGAGCTTGGTTCTCCGGCATAATTTTCTCAACACGAACTGTAAAGAAAAAAAAAAAGAGTCCGGTTCCTCACGGAGTATTTCTAATTCCTTCTTTATGTAGGTTCATTTTAGATTATATGTATAATTAGGGGTGTCGCGAACTTTTGTCGAACCGGATTTTTAGGTCGAACTTTAGGGGTTCGACTGGGTCAAACCGGTTCGACGAACCTTCGAACGTTTCACCAAATTCGACCGGTTCGACTTTGTGGACAGTGTGGCCACACCGGCCACACCTTAATACAAGCATGTCTAGGTTTCGAGAATTTATTTAAGAAATTAAGAAGAATTTATTAAGAAATTAATAACTAAATTTTTGTACTGTATTAACTGAAATAACCAATCAGCGCTGCCCTTAATTCATTCCTCGGCCATCACCATCCAATCCGAAGCCAACTGGACAGCCTGTCGCGCATGCGCACACGAGTCGAACCTCAATACAAGGTTCGTCAATTTTTCACTAAAAGTTCGAAAAAGTCGAGCCTGGTCGAACTCAAACCTTATCAAGACGTACACGTAACAAACGCCAAAAGCACCGCTCCTTCCTCGGACAACCAAAGCGATGCGCAAAACTTTTTTTTTTTTTTTCTTAAGGTGGAAATACTGGTCGCCGACGGACACAGAGAATACGCAGACGTGTTTTCTACGCATTTCGAACGGCTTCCTACGTTTCGCGATTGCGCACCAAATGTTTGGCTTTGCATCGCTTGCAAGCCGTCCGCAGACTGATAGAGTTGCGTGGTCACGTCGAGAAATCTTTTATTCTTTTCATCTTTGACGCTCAGACCAAACGCATAAAAAATAACGACACATAAAAAAACAAGAAAAAAAAAAGTATTTCCTTTGACTCTCCGGTAGGGGTGTCGCGAACTTTTGTCAACCAGATATTTTGGTCGAACTTCCGGGGTTCGACTGGGTCGAACCGGTTCGACGAACCTTCGAAGTTTTAACCAAATTCGACCGGTTCGACTTTGTGGACAGTGTGGCCAGACCTTTATAAAAGGATGTCTAAGTTTGGAGAAATTTTTTTTATGCGAAGGGTTATTTTTAAATTTATGAACAGTTGCAATTAAAGAAACCAATTCTAATCACTGAAGAAGTTAATAGCTTAATTGTTTTGTGCTGTATTAACTGAAATAACCGAAATAACCAATCAGCGCTGCACTTAATTCATCTCTTAGCCAATATCATCCAATCCGAAGCCAACTGGCCAGCCTGTCGCGCATGCGCACACAAGTCGAACCTCGATAGAAGGTTCGTCGAATTTCTACCAAAAGTTCGAAAAAGTCGAACCTGGTCGAACTCGAACCGCGGCCGGTTCGCGACACCCCTACTCTCCGGGGTATTTCATCAACATCGTCCCATATGCGACGATGCTGACGAAGGTCAGGCTAGATGGCGCAAGCTACGGCCCATTATAAAGGGTGTATGTACATCCAGTAAGGACGTTAAAGTCCATTCACCCATCCATCCGGTTTGCGGCATGGAAGTGATGGAAGCGATGGAAGCGTGAACATCGTTGCGTTGCTCGGGGTTGGAGCATTCGACTTAAAGTTTGTTTTTACAAAGTTCGGGGCATCTACAAACGCGAAAGAAATGACAACGATACGCCAGTTCACGTGCGACGATCTGTTCCTGTTTAATAACGTGTGAGTTCCGGGGGAAGTTTTGCCCACGTTATTTCCACAGTGTTCGGGTCTTGGCATCTGAAGCAGTTTGTGCGGATTCCTTTTTTTACAACACCCAGATCCAACGCTAATTGTTATTAAATTTTCGTCAGTTAGTATTTATGGCACCCGCTTTTTGGGACGAACCATTAACACATCACGCGTTGAACGTCGGAACGGTGCAAATAGGTGAAGACGTCGCGTAGTTTCGAAGTTACGCTGCTAGAGATTTGTCAAATTAATACTCTGTAGTGATCCTATTCTACAGTTGGCCAGCTTGCATCAGCTCACGGCACTTTATCACCCTGTCCTCCAGCGCTAGTCTTCCTAGCGCGAAATGTAAGGAAAAGAATCATTCACATGTTTTTGTGCGTGTGCAAGAAAAAAAAAAAAAAAAAAAAAAGTAGCCATGCTTCATCCGATTTTTTCATGAATTGTTGCAAATCTACGTATATTTCAACAGGACCAGACGGATGCAATCCCCAACACATCGCAGAACGAGAAACGTAATAACTGGAAGCCTCAGAGCAGCCAATATTTCAGCAAGTTAGTTAAGAAGCTAAGTTGCCTAGCAAAACTGCAGCTTCCTCTCCGAGGCTTGCAGGAGATCTGATTTCAAATAGTCTCATACATGGCAAACTGGCTCAATTGTATACTTTTGCAAAGAAAGTGCCTCACTCCTATTTCTTTGTTTTATTTGGTTCCAGCAACCTAGACCCCCTCACCGAAACAGTATCCTTTGCGGGCCAGCGACGACAACCACCAAAGAGGGAGAACGTGCGACAGCTAGGCCTCTGGGAACCCCCAGGCTTTGTGGCAGAGCTGTAGAAGCTTTTTTCTAAAAAGTAACAAAGTCGCTGTTGCTCGAGCTGAAATGCAGCCAAGCTACACATGCAGTTGTATTTCTACTAATGTATCCCATTACTAAAGGTGTGCGAACACTGCTCGAATCAAGTAGCTGAGCTTAAGCCATTTGTAATGTAGAAGCTAGGGATGAAACCGTGTTATTCAATTTGAAACAGTAGGCTCGTTCGATTTACCTGCACCCACACCGGTGCAGGAAAGCATAGGGCTGTGTACTTCCAGTTGTATCCAGACTCCATTGTGAGCTGGAACAACCTCCCGGAGAATATCGTCACCATCAGCGACGGCATCTTGTTTCGGAGCATTATATGTAATTGCCTTACTAACCCCCACTCCCCTCTGTAATGCCAACTGGCCTTGAGGGTATTCAAAATAAATAATAAATAAATACACATACTGGAAGTACACAACCCTACACTTTTCTCCAGAGGTGCAGGTAATTAGAACGAGCCTAGTATTCGCACACTTTCGCTACTAACGTTTTGCAGGATTATGCTGTACTCCAAGCAAATAATTACCATTGGTCTGCTATATGCATCTGTTGCCGTACAGACAAAGTCCCTAAACTTTTGGACCCTACGTTGTAGTTACCGGAATCGAAACTAATCACAGTGGCTTATGCACTTTTAATCGGTTGCTTTACAGCTCCGTAGCTTACAACATGAGAGTCGCAATGTAGGATCGGTGTTGTTATGACACCCGACGCAAACCTGTTCTGAATCTTTCATACCCCGAAATGTCGCAAGATCTGGGGCCGCAGGCAGGCTCCCATTACGGGAGGCACTGGAAATTCCTCCACACCGCAGAGGCCTCTGCCCGACAGTCCTTGACAGAGCCCCAGTACGGACTCTCCTTCTACCTCCAGTACCTCGCTCACTGGCCGGAGTACTTCCAGGTCGCCGAATCTCCCAATGGTGACATCATGGGTTACAGTACGCCACATTTTGTACCCTTTCAATTAGCCGACTTGGCTCTCGGCCTCGTTTTGCGACACTTCCCAATCAAAAAGCATTCTCGACGTTAACTGGGTTTGTGTGGGTTTGAAAAGCAGATATTTTGTTTATAACATGCAATGTAAATGCTTTAGCAATGTGAAGTGCTCATTGTGAGCACTACAGAGAACCAAAGCAAAAAGGAAACAAAAGAGTGCCGTCTCTACTTCTCGAAATGCTCGGGCATTTGTTTGCTAAACAATGCTACATGAATGCCAAAGACGCCCAATGTGCGACGAACATTGCTGCTTTTTCAAATTTCGCCAAGAGGTGGTATTGACCAACGCAGAGCTTCATACCACCCAAGTTAGGGCCCAGGACCTTCAGCCACGCTACTAGTTTTGAGGGTAGTCTACCAGTCACAAGAGAGAAACCTGAATATCTGCCGATCGCTCGTTCGTGCCAACTGTCTTACTCCGTACGAGACCTTGCTCATGTTTTTATAGCGTTCAAAAAAATTTGAATAACAACGGATGCTTTTATAACACAGACATTTCGGAAAGAGTCTGCACTTGAAGTAAAGGCTGTTTCCGGAACGGCCATATTTAATACTAAAGTCTCCATTGCGACTCATATTTCTTCGAACATCTTTAATTTCTTGACGGAAAACTTTCTTGAGTACAGTTAGTGTTTATAGAAGCTAAACGGCGTCCCAACTAATGCCGTTTCGGTTGCAGTCATGGGAAAGGCGGAAGGTCTCCAGGGCAACTGGCACGGTCACGTGACTGCCCTGACTGTGGCACCGGAGTACCGGAAACTGGGCGTCGCCGCCACACTCATGTCCGGACTGGAGCACATATCCGAAAAGTAAGCTCGCATCACGGTACATCGTACCACGGTCCTGATGACTTGTTCACACACACTGCTTACGACCGTCTAAAATCTCTTGCGACGAGAGAACACATTGGCACCATTTATTGGGCAGCTGTGGAACACTTCCCAAGTTCCGTATACAGTATTTTCCGATATATGAGACGCAGCCCCCATTTTCGCAAGTTTCTAAGTAAAAATTAGTATAAGACGCACCTGTGTACAAGATGCACCGCCGAAAACTTTGAAAAAAATGTGCGTCTTACACATTGGAAAATATGGTATATATAAATCTATATATTTTTGTTATTTTTTTTCGCTTTTTTGGGGCAAAGGAAGAAGGGGGGGGGGGCTTGAAAAATATTAGACATTGTTATAAACAGTTGTTTCTTCTAGGAGTAGTGCATACATTTGACCTCACAGATAGTGCAAAACCTTTGCTCTAGGGAAATGCATTTCTAGGGCCATCTCGTAGATGACGCCAGCATGCCAGGGTCGTGAGAGATCGCAAGAACTTGTTCCTAAGCAGATGCGAGTTTGTCAAAGGCCCACTACAATCTCCCGTTGTCCCCCGCCTCCCCTCCAGGAAGCAGGCCTACTTTGTGGACCTGTTTGTACGGGTGTCCAACAAGGTGGCGGTGGACATGTACAAGCGGCTGGGCTATAGTGTCTACAGGAGGGTGCTCGAGTACTACTTCGGAGACCCCGACGAGGACGCCTTCGGTGAGTGCACCTCCCGATTCGCTGCGCGGTGCATAGACCGCCCGGAATTCATCTCCGACCGGTGCATTTACAGCGTATACGAAAGCGCTCCCTCGATTTCCACCCAGACAATGTTGTAGAAGTGTCACCAGTCGCAATGCTGGCAGTATCACGGGTGGACGTGGCGGACGCCAGTTCTGCCACAGGTTGTTCTCCAGCTCGATGGTCCACGGAAGCCTCGGCAGCCGGAAGTTGGGACGCCACAACGATGGCAATGGCACGCCATCTCTCTCACTTTTTTTTTTTCAAAGCTTTTATGTGCAACCATTAGGTTTGTGACAAACGACGGCGTGACGCTGGTTTCTGGGACGTCCTTTGTTGGAACTTGGAGAACACTTTCGATGCGTAACCGGAATGAGGCGCTAAATGCACTGGTCGGAGAACGCTTTTGGGCGCCTTAGTGGTGCGTACTGTCAGTGGCTCAACCACTCTTGTGGTACGAGATCAAAAAGAAAAGTGTCCAATCAAATCTTTTGGTGCTGTTCTAATCCCTGTTGGCACTAACTCCTATTTGAAACACAGTGTACCATACCAATACCATCTAGAACACAAGGGCTGTGCATTTCCTTCTCTAAACGCCGTCACTAGTAGATCCCCTCGGTGCCCCCATGGTAGCCCTAATGGACACCATCGTCTGCTTCAGTGGTCATGCTCAGAACGAGCTCACATTACTAGGACGCTAAGAACGGCAATCTCGATGGTGTTGCACAAGCTCCCATTAATAGGCTGTTAAGATGGGCAATCTCGATGGTGTTGCAGCAGTCGCCGCGCCAGTAAATGCGACGTGGCTGTCACGTGGCCTGTACTTTCATCACGCTTCGGCCCGTTTGCCCCTTGAGGTGGGAAGGGGATTTACTAACGAAACGTTGAGCGCAGGCCTTGTCTTCAAAGTGGTATTGACCGAGCTCCGTTTCTTCCGCGTTACGACGAACCGAAGCAGATGCTACGAGCCATCGCAGCCAATCTGGCGGTGGTAACGTATTACGCGATTATGTGCCCGGCGTCGCCACCCCTTCCCAAAAGCCACGCGAATCACTCGCGCGGCATTCGGTTGGCTTTGACGGCTTGAAGTCTCTGCTGCAGTCCATCGTAGACGAAATGCGGTATCTCGGAAACGGAGCAGCCCCTTTCTCTGCAAGCCCTTGAGGTGAAATGAATTATCGTAGACGACTCGATTTTTGCCTATTTTGTGGCTCGAAAGTTATTGAAAAAAAATTTACCTCACGGGGATATCATTCCACGGTAATGAATACATATCGTATCGCTCCAAATCGCAAAATTTATATCTGCGGAATATTCCCAAAACTTGCACTTGCACGCAAAATACTGAGCCCGCGGAAATAAAGTTGTGTATGGTAAATAAGCATTCCATTCTTTAGGAATAAGAGTGCCTTCTATTACTTGTAACTCAATAAGTATTCTTAGGTAGCAAGATTGTAAGTTATTACACTAACCAGAGTGCTTATAGTTAGTTACCCTAGCTCCATTAGAGTGCCCGCAAGAATGCACTCCATGTTTTTTTCCAGACATGCGGAAAGCACTCTCGAGGGACGTCGAGAAGAAATCCGTGATACCCTTGGCCCACCCTGTACGTCCAGAAGACGTAGACTGACATTGTATAATAAACGGCGGGCTTGCGAAACTGCGTGGTGCTTCCGCGAGGACGTTTTCTGGTATTGCATGTGGCTGCCAGGCAACATTTTCACGCACGATTTCTCTCACTGAAAGATAGAGTATGGCAACTGCTCAATAAGCTTGTTCCTCTAAAGGTCTATTCACACAGTGCAGCTTGTTGGCAAACATTGTATCACAAAACTAGGTTTCAGGAAACAGACGCCCTGGGTGAACGTGACCAAAAAAGTGGCTCGCCACTGAAAAACTCTGCGCTTGCTCCTCGCTTCTGAAGCGCTATATTTTCCGAAACCTCGCCGAGGCCCATCAATCAACTGAAGGAGAAACATGGACGCCGCCAATGACCGCTTGACATTGCTATGACGTCTGACCACCGAGGCAGAGCGAGCTTTTAGAGGAGTCTGATGTTTGGCCAAAGCCAAGAAGAGAGACGAAACAGCGTCGAGCGACAAGCGGAGGAGCAGTGTGTAAGGGCGATAGGGGTTAGCAGTACAGGTTGGCGGCGCGGTGCAGATTCATTAACAGTCGCGACAAGTGCAAGCACTGCACGTAAACATGATGACTGGGGATAACTTATCTTTTAGCGGTGCAAAAATGTCCGAAATACTTTGAGATCATCAGCCTGTTCTTTGACGTTCGCGGTCTTTCCCGGGTTTGGCAGGTCTGGTAAACCCAGAGAGACGAAACTGACGAAGTTTATAGATTGGTATCAATAAACCAGACTGCCTCTTCACACTGTGCATACTTCATATCATTTCGATGCGAAGCGCTTTATATTCCCGATGCAGATGACAAGTTTTGGCGAATTTCTTGCGAGTCAATATGTCGCAGGTTTTGCGCATCAAACTCCACGTGTGAGCGGGCCAATTTTGCGAAATCTCAGTTTCACTAAACTGTTGCGCGTTGAAAAGATGCATCGTGTGAATAAGCCTTTAAGGCTGGTTCACAGACTTGCGTCTGCTTATGACTGTGCCTTAAAACTTAAAATTTCTTACGAGAACAGATCTGGTGCCATCTACTGAGTAGCTGTGGAAGACTCAGTTTCTGTATATTTCCCGTTTTGTTTTTCGCGCATCATTCTTTTTTGGTTCGGAAAACTTTTGACAATGTTGTAAACAACAATTTAACATAGATACACTTGATCTTGTAGTTACCACAAAACCTTGGCTAGAGTGAAAGGAAGTTATATTGTTGCCTCATAGGTGGCACCAGTGTGCCTGTGTGTTCTCTCCACTGATCTCAATGACAATAGAGATCAGTGGTTCTCTCATCGTAAGAGATTGCAAGAACTCGGTCCTAAGCAAACGCAAGTGTGGCCTTTGAACTGTGCAGAAACCATGGTATGCATCATGGCTGTTTTAATCTCCACTTAGAAGTTTTATTTGCGAGACTTGGTCCTAAAAAAGAAGTGCAGTTGCTAGACCGGGATCGAAATGTGGGCCCGTGTGTAGCGGTTTCTTTCGTTACGAGCCCGTTTTGTATTCATTATTGGAAAGAACGGTGTAGCATGTGTGGGCTTAGTATTTTACGCATTCTCAAAAGTTTGTCCAGCATCTGAAAGAGAAGCATAGAATGTCTCTTTTGAATGCCCTACGATATTTTTTTCTCGCTCTGCACCTTGCTCATGGTTCGCACGTGTCGTTTGCCCAGTACAGCCCTCCCTTATGCAACACTTCTATTAGGGTCCTTAAAGGTATATTCATAAACAGTAAGTTGGGCAAGTTGGTGACCACCAAACACTACAAAAAATGGGGCACAAAAGGACTGGGCAAGGTAAAGGAACACGAGACAAAAAAATCTCCAACTCACAGCCGACATAGATAAAGAGGAAACGGGCAGTGAAATAAAGGAAAGAAAAACAAAAACAACACCGTGAAAAAAAAAGTGTGAGAATACACTTCTTTATTTCCTTTGTTTATTCCTCGCTTTATTTCGCTGTTCGTTTCTTCTTTCACTAATAGATGCCAGCTGCGAGCCAGCCTTTGTCCAGCGTTCCCAGGGGTAGGGGGGGGGGGGGGTATCGGTGGCCGTGTGCGTTAACACACCCCAGCTCAGAATTAGAGCTCGTGTAGCAGAAAACGGGAATCCCAGGCTCAATCCCCACCCCTGCCCGATCTGGACGACCGTCGTACCGGCTTGCGGTCGTGTATCTCCACCGTCACGCGGCCCGTGGTTCGTGGTGACGCCACTCGCCGAACGCCTAGTGACCCAGCCACACCCTGCGAAGTTACGTTCGCCGAAGAAACGAACGACCCGGAAGCCACGTCGCAACGAAACGTGCCTCGGCTTTGGCCGCTTGGTCGGCACTGGCCGGGGCCTTCGTTCATTGTCCGTAAAAATGTAGTGCCCGCATCGTATGTACACGCCCGTATGTACACCATGGTCCGAGAGAGCTCTCATTCCTGGCCCTCCTCCCCCTGGTCGTCTTCGGTCTGCTGCTGCTTCTTCCACTTCTTGGCGATCTCGAGCAGCTTGAGGTGTGGCTTGGCCGCCTCGTCCGTCGGGAAGATGTAGTCAAAGTACTCCTCCCAGCCGGCCTCCGTCTAAAAGGGAATGCGTCCATCACCATTTGTCGTCGCCAGTGTTAAGGGCTGGTTACTACGCTCGTGACTGTGTGCCTTAAAACCTCTTACGAGAGAACACACCATCCATCAGGTAGCCATGAAACACTTGCACTTTCCATAAATTTTTTTTTTTTTTTTGGGGGGGGGGGGGGGGGGGGGGGGTCGAAAATTTTTTGTGAAACATGTGAAACAACTTCTTAAAACTTTTTGCCATCTTTGGGCTCTGAAATGACTCCTTTAATTCCTGCGCCGATAGTTTCGTAGGTATGGATGTAGTCAATCAATAAAGGTTACCAAAGTTTTTTATTTATTTGAGAGATGGTAGAGTGTCTCCGATGTAAAACCAGCTCAAAATAGCATTTTTACTTTGTTAACACCTAAAACACCTGCACTCGCTCAATTGACTTTTCTGCAACTATTCAATGCTACACTCCTACTTTTATAACTCGAAAGTATCTTACCTATACTGATACCTACCTCAAAATCCTGTACCAGCATTATAAGTTTAGCGAGCAAACTGTCTTTGCAATATCTATATTTTTGCTACGGTAAGGTGCACTTTACCACATCAATATGTTCACTTCATCAGCAATACCTTAAACACCAGCATTACAAGCTTGTAGCCACAATGTTCCTTCACTATATTCATATTTTTACCCCATAGCACTCTACCCTTGCTATAAATCACTATTTTCACCACATCACAGGGGTGGAACTCATGAAATGTACTTGGGAGCAGCCACGGGAGCAGCTGAAACAGCTGTTTTGGAGCAGGTTGGGAGCAGCTAAAACTATGTTCTGGAGCAGGCTAGGAGCAGCTCAGATCAGCTTTCATTGCACTTCAGCTTGTGTCTTAGACAAGCAAGGCTGTTATCCCATCTACCTAGGTCCCTAACAACTCATGTTCATCTGTGCTGCTAAGCATGATTGAAATTGCAATCATGCTTAGCAGCACAGATGAACATGAGTTGTTAGGGACCTAGGAAGAAGGGATAACAGTCTAACAGATGCGAAAACTTGAAACTTTGTGAGCCTTAATGAGAATCAAAAAGCAAGTACCCCATGTTTCTGAAGATAGCGTCCTTGATATTTTCTGAGTGGCTTTCAGCTGCTCAAAATGCAAACCAGCACTGCTTATCGCACAACCCACACGTGCTCGACATAGTAATTATATGTGCGAACCACGTGACGTGCGTAAGCAACGGACGTACAGTTGCACGGAGGGAAAGGGCAACAAATTTCAAGTTTATCCTATTGTGCAACTCGATATCGAAGCAGCAGACTACGATTAACAAAGTTATCGTATTTGAAGTGATAAGCAGGAGCAAGGTTAATGTATGCAGAGTAGATCTGCTACTCGCGTAAGAGCTGCTGGCTGGCAAGGTTTCGGATTGGACCGCGTTTCAGTTCTATCAAATCACGATTTATCTTGTGAGAGTGTGGTTCCAACTTCTAACGATGAAGTACTAAAAGAAATTTTTTGCTCATTTGTTTTCAACTGGCTGACGTCCGGATTCCGGGCCACAGAGCCTCAGGCAATCTGATGCTTAACGACTCGACCTCACCTCGGCCGACTTGCTTAACCGCTTATAGTTGAAGAATAACAATTGAGTCGCAGGAGGTGTAGCGCTTAGAATCCGAGTTTTTTCGCGCACTTCTGACTCGGGATACACAGGAAGAATAAACAGAACAAAGGATTGCAAGGCCGACCAGGCTAAACGTGCTCATTGTTGCCAATCGAGTCAATAAAACCGAAACCAAGACAAAAAAATAAAAATGTTTTTGGCGCACGTTTTATGATTTGGCGCATAATGGCGCGAGGTACTGGCTGTGGCCCAGCTTCTGCAACATGGCGCACGATGGCGCAGACAGATGTGTCTGGCGCAAAATGGCGCCATTTTGCTTTAGCAGCTGCTAAAGCTTACTAGCTTTAGCAGCTGTATCAATATTTGGAGCTATTAACCTCAACTTTTCTCAGTCATGGTATCTATGTGCTTTTTAATTTTATTTATTAACTCAAAACACTGCAAGTCACAAGGTCAGAGCAAGATGTTAAGCTCGTTGAATACATAAACACTCCCAAACACACAAAATGATCTACAAAGCCGGAAGTTCCATTCGGCAATATATTTACAGAATGGAAAAGTTTATAAATGAATCTGCGTTGGAGCGATAAGCAGTGGAGTATTTGCTGCGCTTAGTTCCAAGTCCCATCATCAAGATTTGCACACGTAACAGAATTGAGTAGATCCTTGTCACAGGCTGTGCGTGCAATAGAAAAAAAGTGGAGAGAAAAGATGCCTCGGGGGAGAGCACCCCATAGTGGCCAACGAAATTCCCCGGGAAAGCTGCACACTTGCAGACGCTCCACAGCAGGCACTGGCCCTGTAAGGCCCGTGGCAACTGCCGGAGCGAGTTCCAAAAACGGTATTGTCGACAAGCCGGTCTTACCCCGTCTTCCCCGACAATCTTCCTGCGCTTTTTGACCTTCTTGGGCATTTGCTTCGCCACCGCTTCCTGGCTCTGCTCGTCCCCGTGGTGGGCCTGGCACCGAGGAAAAAAAGTAAAAACACTGAGCGGCCGATGTCTCATTACAGTAGGCTCGCGGTAATTAAAACTCTGATATTTCATACCTTAGGTTAATTCAAACAAATTTCAAAAGCTTAATTGTCCCGCTACGTTTTTGATGTATTTATAAAAATGCTTAATTCGAACGGCGTTTTCGTGTGATTCCTACTTTTAGTTCTTGTTTCCCCATTTACAGTATAGACCACTTACAACGTAGCCGCTTATAGTGCAGGACTGGGTATAACGCGGCTTTTTTAAACCACCAGTTCGCCTCCCATAGAACTCCATGTAATTACATACCGCTTAAAATGCAGGCGCGCGAAGGGAAATACCGGTTATAGTGCGGTTTCTGGCACAGCCCGCCGGCCGCGCCGACGACCGGAGCTGCGAGCACGCTTCCCTGTGCGACTCTAGATAACGGCGCTGACGGCGCGAGCCGCGAGCGGCACTCGCGGGGCAGTTGCTCGAAGAAGCGGGGAGAAGCGAAAGGCTTCAGTTGCCATAGCGACGGAGGGACGCACGCACGTGTCGTCCACGTGCGTGCGTCCCTCCGCTGCGTTGGAAACAAACGAAACAAACAACCGCAACGACAGACCAATCGCAGGTCGAGAAGTGTTCGCGCGCGTTGCATGCCGGTCGCGGGCCGGCTGCTTCTATCCGCAAACATGGCGTCGGTTGTGATCGTCGTCGTAGGTGGCGTTCATCTCATCGTTCCGCGTAAAAGCGCTATCCTTGACTGTGAATTTTCGTTGTGTGTCGCTATGATAACCCAGCACGCACTAGAAGGGAAGATCCACCTACTCGTGCGGCGATGTCGTGGCGGCGCTCTCAAGACGGCAGAAACGCCCGTGTCGTCGTGTTTGTTTACTTTGACTACAGTGGTGCTTTCTAAGCATTTGTGTCCTTGAACATCGCCCGGATTTCTTATTTGGCGCATTTCATGCGTGTGCTCAAGTTCAAGGTATTACTGGCGCGGACCGTACGAAGGATGCGAATTTTCACGCGTTTTCATCTCCGGAGAAAAGTGATTAGAGTTAGCAATCCTGAACGCTCACAACGTCCATCCGCAACCTGCGACGCCGTTAAAAGGCTGCGCCAGGCAAAAGCCGCTCATTTCTTTCAAAATGTGTAACACACTTGAGACAGAACTGCACTAGTCTGGTGAAATAAACACTTTCCTCAAACTAAGCTTTATTTTTCATCTAACATAAAATAAATTCTTTCACAAAGGTAAGTTGTCTCATGGCTTGCATTTTGGCCTGAAAAATTGATGTTTTGGTTATAGCGCGGTACCGCTTATAGTGCAGATTTTCGTGACTCCCGCGACATACGTTATATGCGGTCTACACTGTAACATACTTCTTGCTGAGCACTGGTGACTGCGGAGAAGCAACGGATGCGGACCTTGCTTCTGCGGTTGTTGCTTCTCCACGGCGCACCGATGCTCGGTAAGAAGCGCGCTCAACGGGGCAGGGAAAACAAAAAGTATGAATTACACGAAAACGCCGTTTGAATTAAGCATTTTTATAAATACATCAAAAACATATCGGAACAACCAAAATTTTGAAATTTTGGTTGCCTCTAGCCCTATTAAGCGCACTTCTTACCAACACCCAGAGAGCTCGCTTCTGCGAGTGTTGCTTCTCCGCAGTGAACCGGAGCTCGCCAAGAAGTCTGCACAACAGGGCTAATAGTTCACAATAGTCAACTTTTTCGTTGGATCAACAAACCCAATTTTGTTTTCAGGTGTCATGTGCTGTCTAAACATTCTGCAACAGACAACATTTTTGTGGGATGAATAAACTTACCTCGTACATTTCACCAAGGTTTCATGTGTGGCATATATCTGTTTATGATTAGTAGGTCTGTGTAGAGGAAATCAGCAAATATATGCTTTGCGTGTGTGGCCATCCCAAGTGCACATCATAATTTTATCTCGCAACATATTTAGATAAATTTCTGATCACTCAAACGAAATTTGTGGCTTCCTGGAGCTTGAATGAATGCGGGTCTATTGTATTATGATGTGGAGCCAACTCACATGTATTACAAGAACAAAAACAATTTATTTGGTACTAGTACTAAACTGCTGACAAGCTGTTTGCAAAAGCTGGTCCTCAACAGGGTGCCTGTTAGCATCACTACTGCACAGGCTACTACTATAATGCGTGGACCTTATAAATCAGTTGCTGAACAGATTGCAATGTGATTTTGCGGAGGTGCAACTGGACGGTGCACTTAAAAGGTAGGCAATCCATTGCCGCTAGGGGACCACTTTCGATGCATGGGCAAGACAGGTAGGTACACGCACCAGCTGGAGACACGTCGCACGTGCCATACTAGAAACATTCCGCAACACCGAGGTTGGCACGGAGGACGGAGCCACGCTCACCTCGAACTCGGACCAGGACTCGAGCAGCATGAGCCTCTCCTCCTTCTCCTCGGAGGTCCGCAGCTGCTTGTTGGCACGCTCGTACACGGTCCGCGCCAGGGGCACGGGGTCTTCCCCACCGTAGTTCAGTTGGAAGTGGGCAAAGCTGATCCAAACCTGCCGAAGACAAACGTTGATCCGCAAAGGCACGCCTACCCATAACTGGACCGGGGCCACCGAATGTGCCTGGAGGACCAACATCGCTGCAATCTATGGCTGCAAAATGGCAGCCCCGTGCAAATGATCGAACGAAACTTAGCAGACCCGTTCGTGAACGGGCAAATGGGTTATTGTTTTCCCTTGATGCACTCTTGGTAAAAAGTCATACACTGAAAATATACTAAGTTACCGTACTTGCCAATGTTTAAGTCGCTTTTCTTTTTCCAAAATTTCCGTCGGTGCGTCTCGTACAACGACGTGGCTTGCATGAATTTTTTTACTACAAGTAGGGATGATAAATGGACAAATTTGCCACAGGGGCTATGTTTCTTACTCAATTCGTTGGTGAGAATATTAAAACTGGTTCCCGCTTGCGCATACATCGCGATCACGATGCGCATATGCGGGCTTGTTGACGCGGTCTTGCCACACCGACCGCGCAAGTACACGTAGGTGCGACATATGTAACAACATTTTTGTGGAAACGGCTGTTAATAGGGGGGTGTAAGTGTAGACCTGAAAATATGGTTAATTAAAGTATAGTTTTAGTTCAAAAAAAAAAAAAATTGGGTTGTGTGTGTGTTTATACAGCCTAGAACTTGGTCTGCCTCACAGGGGCGACGAGTCTCCCAGCTGTAGATGAGAAATTTAGCCAGTGCGGTACAGCCGCTAGCCTGGGGTCTTTAACGTGCGTCACGCAGTAGTGATACACGACCGCACGCCGGTACGATGCTCATCCAGATCGAAACGGGCAGGGGTGGGGCTCGAACCCAGGATCCCTGAGTTCTGCAGCGCGAGCTTTCGCTCCACGTGCTCCGAGCTGGTGTGCGCTAGACCACTCGGCCACCGATCCCCCCCTAGTTTTAGTTCAGTATATTAAATGCACGCTTTTGGTACGCACTCCTTAGTTACCAGAATGGGTTGATGTGCGGACCGCTCAGCTAAAACCTGAAGTACAACAAAAGTATACTTTAGATACTGAAAACATACTTTAGGTATACTTCCTCGTTTCATAAAAGTAAAAACTAAGATACTTTTAGTGCACCGCATTTAGGGTAGGCTGGATTCTCCGGAACTCCAAGAGCGAGAACAGCAGGGCGTGTTTGAACCACCCGGCTTCCAGCCCGCGCTCCTTGCCTTCCGCTCCACTTTGGCCGTGCACTCGAGAGACGCCCAGGCGTTGTCCGAAGTAAGACGCTCACGCCGGAGCCAACTAAAGCCCCTCCCCACCATACTCACCTTGCCGGTTACTATTGCATCTTACCGAGGGTCGGCTCCGTGCTCCGGTACCATACACCGTCTCACTTTAAGTACGACCGCAGCCAAGACTACAATCCGACGGAGCCAATGGAGCAGCGCCAAATGTGCTAAATCATGGCGCGCTTCGCCGTTGTGCCTTTGCCATCACCGACTGAACCATTCAAGCACAGTGAATGTGCCACAACCTTGCATTTTTTTTCTGAGCGCAATTGGTTTAACCAACAATAGGAAACTAAAAAAAAGGTGCCACAACAATGTACTTTTGGTGCCGTCTGATTGGCTTCGTCGAAACGTAGCGTCGGGTCAAACATGAGGCGAAACGGAGTGTGGCGGAAGGCCCCCTCACCTTGACATGCTGCGTGCGCTCAAGCAGGCGCTCGTACAGGTGCGCGGCCCTCTGGGGCTCCTCTTGCTCGATCTCGAAGTCAATGTAGCTCTTCCAGATGACCTCGGGCATGTCCAGCCGGGGCTGTCCAATGGCGATCTCGTACACTGCCCGGGCACGCTCCACGTCGCCCAGGATCGTCTCCAGCTCCGCAAACTGAGAACAGAGGGCGTTGTCCAAAGGGTCGCGAAAGAACCTTCTAATGCGGAACGCATTTTAGGGACAATTTTTGTCTCCGAAGCGTTGCGAAAAGGCGTTAAGAAAACGTGATGACACGGTCGAGTGACCTGATTTGTGCTCGGTAAAAAAACTTGACGGGAGCTTTTGTACGTTTAGAAATCCGGTAAGATTTCCCGCTAAATTTAGAGAAAAATGCACCGCTAAATTTAGCTCGTGTGAAAGTATGTGACACCCCAATGTGATGCGAGAATGTCGCTATCTCGTGTGACCCCCGACTCTGCTCTCAGCGAAAGGAGTTACACCTGCTGGAGGCGGAACGCAGAGACTCGCCACCCACCTTCATCCAGGTGGTGCAGTTCTCGGGGGCGAACTCGAGGAACTTCTGGTAGAGGATGCGGCAACGGTCGAACTCCCTCAGCTGAATCTCCAGGTCAATGTAGCCGCGGAACAGCTTGTCCTTGGGGCAGAGCCCGATCGCTGTACCCTGCGCATTGTGCCCGCGTCGTCATCACGGCACGCCCACACTTCGTAAAACCGTGTTGGGATTAGTTCGCGTCGTGGAAGGCCAGGTTACAGCATCGCGTCTTTATGTGGAACCCTGAGGAACCGGTCGAAACTGTCCTACTTAGAAAAGGTGCCACCTAGTCAAAGTCATACTGAACTTGGCAGAAGGCGAGACGCTTCTGAACATACGAAGACAAGCAAATATATTTTGTAAAGTTCAGAGTTCCACTTAAAGAACATTCTACTAATCTATCCCTAAAAAGCTTGGAGAATTAATAAGCACATATGCAAATGCATTCTCAACTGAAATCTAACAGTGGTGCGGGATTATGTCTTCCAAGTGCCCAGAAATACATTACCCGATCGAAGTCTGAACACACAAACTCTTCAAGAAACGGTAATTTAAATTTGTTACGCAAAGTATATGTGAATGGCACGTCCAGACCGGATCAAAATTTTTCTACATGCCATTCGCACGTCGTCAACGCATCAAGCACCCACTGCTACCAAATTCTGAGCCCACCGAGCTCACTGAGATGCTCCACCACTCCAGCCGCTTCTCTGAAAAACCAGCGCAGTGAAGCTTAAAGGCTGGTTCACACACTTACAACTGTTACGATTGTCGGCCTTAAAACTACTTATCTTACGACGCACTAGCGCCATGTATCGGGTAGCTGTAAAACATTTCCCGACATTTCCCTTTTTTTTTTTTATTTCATTCTTTTTGGTAGGCAAAACTTTTGGCAGTTATAGATAATTTTATAGACTTTTTCTCATAGAAAAAAGGTACAATTGATCTTTTTATTAGCAAAGAACCTAGGGAAACGCAGTTTTAGGGTCACCCCATAGGAGTGCGTTCTCTCCTCATAAGAGATCACGACGACTCGGTCCTAAATGACACAAGTGTGTGAACGGGCCGCGCATGCACCGGTCCAAAAAGGTAGCAAAGCTAGATGCGGAATCGGCGCTGGTTATTTAGTATTTTATGGTAAGCAGCAAGCTTTACGCTATCCGCACCACAGTCCAGTGCCAAGTTCCACAGGACGCAGACGAGGCAGTACCGAACGCGGGCGCCAGCGAGTCGTGCTGCGAGCGTATCCACCCACCAGGAGCTTTCGAGCGGCGGCCAGGTCCTTCTGGCGCACCTCGAAGTATGCGGCCCAGAGCCAGAGCTTGGCGAACGTGAAGCTCTTGTGGGGCAGCAGGCGCAGGCAGGCCCTGTACACCTCCCGGGTGCGGCCAGCGTCCCCTGTCTCCAGCTCCTCAAACAGGGCGTAGTTCACCCACAGGTAGATGTAACGGCGCCAGTACCGCTTCTCCTGCAACGCACGGCCGGTGCCGCAAACGCCACGTCAATGCGTGCTGCCCGCAAGAAGCCGTCAAACTGGGGCATTCGCCGCATCCTCGTTTAAATGCAGAAAGACTGGCTCAGACGTTTGCGACAACGGCAGCGACGCCTGCGTCCACTCATCTTGGACAGTGCCTCCATAACCATCCACCGAGATTGCGAGAACCCGTAGAATCGCGGAGCAGATCCTGTCAAATTTGGGGGTTTTACGTGCCAAACTAATGGCTCTTTAGACGTGCAACCGAAATCTCTATTACACGGCGCCTTTTCCGCAACAAGCCTCCATCAGATTGCGGGAACCTCAACCGGGATTCGAACCTGCCCCCCAGGAATCTGTAATCCAGAGCTTTGCCTCGGAGCCATTGACGTGGCTGCGGTGGATCATGTGACTTGTGCATTGCCATTTGGGGGAGGTTATGAAGCAAGGGTGGCACAGGGGATGCCAAGAGCATCGGCTGGAAAGCGCGTTTTAGGGGCCGTAGCAGCGGTACGACGTACCTTAGAGAGGGGCACGTTGGCAATGGCGCGTTCGTAGGTCTCCCGGGTCGCATCCACGTTCCCCTCGCTCTCCATCAGCCGCAGGTAGTCGAACCAGGCGTCGTAGTTGAGGGGGTTCTCCTTGATTTGCTGCTCGGAAATCGGGCCACAATTAGTGGAGGATTAACTAAAAATGTACAGAGACGTTAATGCACAGATTCTATTTAGCACGGCGCAGATTGAGCAAGAATTGCTAAATTAGGAAAGCAGAGAAATCAGGGGGGGGGGGGGGGGGGACTCGGTAAATCTTTATGATCGATAGCGCGTGTTTACCCATACACCTTCACACTGGTTGCAAATCCACAGGCCTGAACAGTTAGCAATGACCACCGTGGCAGAGACAAAGCCAGCTAGCGTTTGCGTTCACTCACCAACTAGAGCAGTGGAAGAACGTGGAGCCCACAAACATGGGGTCATAGTTCTGATTCCCATTAAGGTGCATTTAGAATTTTGTTTCTGTTATCTCAGTTTGCCACTTTCTTGTACAGATTGTCCTCTGAAGCACGTGCTGCACATTTAGAAACGGTCTCCATGGCATACCGTTACACTTTCCTTAAGGATCCTTCGATCACATTCTGTGTTAAAATGAGAAGGGACTGACGGCTCACCTCCTCATACTGGTACTTGCGCTTGCTCACGATGACGTCCTCAATGCCCGCCCGGTCACCGTACTTCTTCTCGTGGATGGTGTAGTTCTTGAACAGCTCCTGGGCCTTGTCCTTGGGGATGTGGTCCAGGGCGTACTTGTAGATCACACGCACACGGTCGTGCTGCCAACGAGACAAGCAACTCTTCGAAGCCTGCACCATCCCGCTTCGCCATCCTCGCGAACTTCTCCCGACTTTTCTGGGTTATTCTCGAGACCATCTCGTCGAAGTGTTTCCTTTGATTCGGAGCAAGAAAAAAAAAAGATCCCAACCATTCAATTTTGAAGGCGATGACGTGCCATTACCTTTCCTCAAGTTTCAAAGGGACAAACATACTTGGAGCATCCGTCGAAACTGCATGATTTTGTAATTATTAATGTTAATGTAACGTTAACGGAACCTCCAATACTCCGCAAAGCTGCATTCGGGTATTCCTAACGCACAAATCCACAAAACCGTGCAACAAAGTTGCCACTTCGCAATGCGCATTCGTCGATTCGCAATGAAGTGCTAGCGTTACTCAACACGTGTCAACCTGCACCCAGCAAACGGCATTCAAATTTGAAACATTTCCTCGTTATTTCTCGAAATAAGTGTAGCCATCTTCTCAAATTTCAGAAGGTAGACCCAATCCCCAAAATAAACCTCCGACAAAAAAAAGTTTTAGTTGGGTCTAGTTCGGTTTATTATAGACTCCAAGAGCACTTCAACAAAGTGCACTACATGAGGGGGGGGGGGGGGGGATCTAGCACAAACAAATGAAAGGTGAAGGTTGCCAAATAACAGTATGGTTGATTAGCAACAAGCGCCATATTTACGGGTAATATAAAAGACGCAAGTGAAAAAAAGTAAGTGATATTGAAAAACATTTTGACACGGAAAACACTCGTGAAGTACTCCTTGCAAAGATTGGCTCACCAAGTGTAAGCAGCGATGCTTTCAGTTACATCCACACATTTGCTTCACCGCATATGACCCAAACAGAGCAAATGGCATAGCAGCAGTTCTGTCGACCGCCACGACAAAACAGAACGGCTCGTGCGCATGGCACACGAGGAAACGGGGACGGCCACTCACCTCCCGCTGATTCTCCTCGAACTTGGCGAAGGCTACGAAGAGCTTCTCGTCCATGTACTCCTCCCCAAAGAACTCCACGGCCCGCTCGTAGACTCGCCGTGCATTGGAGATGTACCCGTTCTGCTCCTCGAACCTCGCATACTTGATCCAGTGCTTCACGTCGGGGTGCACCATCACAAGTGTGTCCGAGTTAGGGAAGACACCCTGCCGTTGCAGACGACCAAACTTTGCTCGCTATTTGCAGAGTGACAAAACTTCCCATTTTTTTACTTGCCATTACGGCTGTCCGACATTTTCGTTGGACCGGCACACAGTGGTCTACGTCAGGCACGTTACGCCAGCCATGCCTTGCCTGTTGAAAATCCGTCCCCTTTGTAATCAAACTTGTTCGACACTACGCGCCACCGAGCGGCTTCCGAGAAGCTCGTAATATTCTCCGACAAGCGTGCCGACCGTAGTCGACCTCGGGAAGCCGTGCCCGCACTAGCGAGCGTGCAATGCATTCTAGTTTGGTGGCCCAATCTGTGCCGGCATGGTCGGCGTGCACCAAACGCCGTCGATGTCGATGGCACGACCTCGCTGTGTCACCTGCACAGGTCATGCAAGAGTACAGACACTTTCCATGCAGTCGCCGCCATTCTGAATGGCAGAACTTCCAGTATGGAGAGGACTGTAAATCCTGCTTGTTTCATCTCTTCCATATTTATTTACTCGTTCCAATTTGTAACGGCTCCCTTTTTTTTCGCCGCCCGTACCAAACGTACAAACTATGTGGCTGGGGACGAGGGTAAACGGAAAAGGTCTGTAAACGAGTGTCCCGTACAAACGCTTGGTCAGCCCCGAGGAAAAGGATATATCGCTCGTAGATGCTCCGTGCCCGGTCGATCTCCTTGTAGCGCAGCTCGAAGTTGATGTAGGTCTGCCAGGCCTGCTCGTGGGGCTCCCACTCCATCCAGCGCTCGAAGACCTGCCTCGCCCCACCCAGGTTGCCCAGCATCTCCTCCATGTAGGTGTACTTGTACCAGAGCTGCTTCACCCGTGGCAGGATCGACACCGCTCGGTCCCAGATGTTCCGCGCGTGATTCACCTGCCGGTTTCTGGCCGAGGGGAGAGGGACGACGGGTGACCGACTGCACTGGAACCACTTGTGACCGCTTATGACAAAACACTGGCACAAACTATCAGGTAGCCCTGGAACCCACCTGCACATAACTACTAGACAGAAGGTTTTAGCATTTTTGCTAGATCAAGTCTATGCACTACCTATGAAAAATGATTGCTCATAACTAGGATTCCATGTTTCCAAAGTTTATTTTTTGTCAAATTTTGAGGGCGTGTTTCGGAGTTTAGTTTTGTTTGATTCCCAAGTCTTCTAAATTCGGTGCTCAAGTTTGCAGTGAAAGTTTCCTATTCTTTAAAGCTAAAAATAAGTAGTATCTGCACATAAATGTGTGCTAAATTCAAACTAGCACAATTGTATTAATTAATATTACTTCAGCTTGACTTGGCATCAGCACCATTTGCCACTGACAATATTAAGTTGCTTCCGACAAAAGTTGCAAACGAGTGTTGCTTGAATAAGTGTCGATACTTTAAAATCAATAAACTCCCGAGGTAGTCGCGGAAAGCTGATGACGCATGGCAAAATGAAAACCGCGAAAGAACAGACAAAGGACAAGTGGTAGAAAAGACCAAATCAAGCTCTGACTTACAACTTACAGCACCTGGTTTGTTCATTTCTTCTACTTATCCCTCATGTTTTTTTTGTTTTTTTTAATGATATTTATAGGCTTTAATTTTCTTTCAATATTTCCAGTATCCCTTTGACCATGATCCATTAATGCAGGCAAATCGGGCGCGAGCACTCCAAGTAGTGAAGTAGCAAATTTGCCAAACTGGTCGCTGCTGCAGTAAGAGATTTATGTGGCTAGTAAAGGACACTCGTGAGCATTCTTCGAGCTGCAAACCAAAACTCTCAAAAGGTTAACCGAGGTCTTTATGCTTTGTGCTGTAAAGGACTCGATCGCTCCATCCAACTCCGGAAAACAGTAAAAGAGACCAGAACGACTTACTTCATCTCCATCTCGGCATACTTGAGCCAGAACGTCACGTTGCGGTGGTCCACGTCCAACCCGCGCTCGTACACTGACCGGGCCCTGCGTGTGAAACAGTAAACCGTCAGTGCCAGCTCAGAAGAGTAAATATTGTGCAATAGACATGGGAACAGGACCAGAACATCGTAGGACAAAACAATGACAACAAACTTGATTTCTTTATCGGAGGAGCTCTATGGCGAAGGACCTTACTGTATCCCTAGGAAATGGGCTAATTTCCCTAGTAGTCCCTAGGGTTTTTACCAGAGTACACCCAAGGTGCTCCTCAAACACAAACAAACTCCCTCAGTTGTCCCGAGACCAAAGCGTGTTACATGTTCATAAGCAAAAAAACTAGTATAGCTAAACCATGGACTGCTGCATAGCTATGCGTTAAATACTTCTTTAACTCTTTCCCTAATGCTAATGTCAATAAAGTCTGCAAGTTTATCGGCTCCAAGTGCTAAAAATGTCCTGAGTGGGACTCACAAATAGTTTCTCGAGATGTAACTATTTTGTTAACCCGTTCTAGCTTATAAGCTGAATCAAAACCTGAATTAAAAGAATATTTTCATTGACGCCATTAGGCCAATATGTCAAGGATGAAGCGGCCACGGTTGGTGATGAAGGCCCGAGGTATTCCAGACAGCGACCGCTAAAAATCGCCCTCCATCGAAAGTGCAGCTTGATGTGGAAAGTCTCTCACCCTCATGGTCTGGGTAAATGTGAGTCGCTTCCTTCGAGACGAATTGTACATTAACCGTGGCTTCTCGTGAATTCATGAACTCACCTCTGAATTTCCTTCTGACTCTCTTCCCATTGCGCGTACTTGATCCAGTTGCTGATGACAGAACGGTTCTTGCGGATGTTGTCCTCGAAACCCTGACAAACGATTCGATGAAACGTGTCAATTAAGGTTCGGGAAATTCAGGCACACGCTCGAGAGCAAGAACTCGTAAGAATACTTACTTTTCTCTTTCGGATCTGATATTCTGCCAACTCTTCGGGATCCGAGATTTTTTGCTTGGGCGGCTGTGGGGTGCGTTGAAAAAGAGGCGCTCGGTCAAAGTTCTGCTAAGTGTCACGCACAGTGGCAGGGGCGGTCGGCTGCTTAGGCTGTCGCACACTTACCGGTGGAAGGATTTCAAGATCGCGCTCCTTGGCTTCCCGCAGAAGTTGTTCGGCGGTGATCTGAATCTCCGCCGGTGTTTTGTTTTTTACCTAGAACACAAAAACAGCACGCGACATTAGAACGTATTACACACCTCATGACAACACCTCACCTCGCACGAAAACCACTCGAGTCTGTACTGATTCCAAAGTTTATGAGAAAGCGATCGGCACTAGAAATGTAATGCCCAGGTTGTCTAGAAAGTAGTGATTAATTTTACACCATAAATTCCAACGTATGGTTTGAAATTCCCCCAAACGACACTGAAAACGACAAAGAGCAGAAAGTCGTACTTACTTTCGCAACTTTCGGTATCTTCTGTGGCTTGGCGCCGCTTGTACTTGCCATCTTGAAAGTCCCTGTGGGTTCCGCGGTTACCTCAAAGTCTAAACTTGTCCGAAAACTTGACTGAAAGATGAAAATAAGCTTTGAAAATACCGAGTCCCGCTTCGACGCAACGATCACAAGCGGGCCGCCATGTTTCTCATACGCCTGGCGGTTAAGTTTACAGACGACTCGTGCCGTTTATTGGCTCACATCAGCAAAGGTTAAAAACAAAACGTCAGCAGATACGCGAAAATATAAAATATTAAACCTGTAAATATAATTTATTAATTTTATTGAACCTAAATTATGGCGAACAACGCATTTCCCGGGGCACATAAACCTGACAAACTGGGCTTCCGTTTCGTCTTACGATGGACCGCAGCGGATGCTATGAGCCCAACGTTGTATGAGCCTCCCCAGCCAATCCGGCGCTGTCAACTTGTCACGTGACTACGCGTCTTTCGCACGTTGATTTATTTTTTTTTTTTTTAAAGGTCAAGTGACATTTACGCGGCACTGGATTGATTATTATAACTTAGCTGTCAAAAGTACCTCGGGTTTGGAGTCTAATGCTACAGGAACGTCTTAGAAGAGCAAGAGGCCTCAAAGCAAAAATGACTGGACGAAAAGTGACACTGGGTGAAATCGGCTCGGTGAAACCTTTACGCCTGCAGTTTTATAGCGAGTTCGTTTCACGGCACTCGTGCCCACGCGTGCCCACTCGCAGCGTGGAACGGGTTCGTTTCGGCCGGCACTCCACGAGCGGTTGCACTCTCCGAGTTCGTTTCAACGCTGACACCCCACGCGTGCATGCGCTCGCTGCACCGAGAAAATCGGGAGTGCGCCAAAATGCAATCCCGTCATGCCTCGCTCCGGTGGGGCCGGCGAGGAGCGGGAGCAGACGACGAGGGTTCGTCTGCTACGATGTGTCGCGAAACCAAACAAGAAAAAAAAAAAAAAAAAAAAAAAAAAAGTAGATTTTCTGATAGAAATCGCGTCCCGCGGGCAACGAAATCAAACGCGAGCTTGAATTGTGAGCGTCTGCTATTTCACGAAGGAAGCAATTGACAACCCGTGATTTATTTGCAGGTTTTAAATAGCTCTGTTGCCGTACAAACGCTGAAATATACCAGTGTGTAAAGAAATGCTCAGAACAAACGCAACAACGGCCCCCGAGATGTCTATCACCATCCGTGTGCGGGTGAAAAATTTAACATTTGTCGACAAAACTCCCCCAGCAGAAACCTCTGACTGCCAAATAAGCACCAGAGAAAGCTAAAGATGGAGACTTTACCCGAGGATGGGGCAACATCATCATGTTTAACATTTACCTATGTCAGCTAACTTGTCCCGTCGTATTTTGGTCGAGAACGCTCTCGTTCTCGACGCCCTCACCAAGGCTAATATCTAATCCACCTATAATGCCGATCCAAATCGAAAGTCCCAGTTTTGCTGGATGTTCCGACAGGCTAGTTTTAAGCCATACCCTTTCAGTGGTTCACGCATAATACCATGCTCAAACGGATCAAGCTTCTGCTCGGAGAGCATCATCAGTTTTCTTCAGCGTAAACGGTTATAAGAATTGAAAGATCGCAACCAGCTGCTTTGTAGACAGCTGGTTGCGGAAATTTACGCCGTCTGTGATTATCTCTACGGCAGCCTAGCTGCTTGAAGTCATCGCAACTATAAACTACAGGTTGCAGCGATTAACGTTTGTCGATAAACGTTGGTAGCGACTGCATTCTCGCATTCCCACGCATCACTCCGAACAGAAAGGCGCCAGTTTCGGTTTGAAATCGGTACCTTTCCTATAACAACATAGATGGCGGCAGCATCAGTCTTCTGCACTCGGTGCATTTGGCGAGTTCGTTTGAGTCCAGTTTTCCGTGCAACACTTTGTGAGTGCGATGCATTCTGGGAGAGAACTCGAACGGTGCCAGTGCGTGTGAAACGAACTCGCTATTAGACTGCAGCTGTTAGGCGCCCGTTTCCGGGTTGAGCGGCGTCGGCGTCGGCGTAACCGCATGTTGCATTATGGGGCATTTCTGAACAGGGAAATATTTCCACTAAATTTAGCGGGGAAATTTCCCTGCTACTTTTAGTGGGGAAATTTCCCTGCTAAATTTAGTGGAAACATTTCCCCGCTGAATTTAACAGAAAAATTTCCCCGCTAACCTTAGCGAGTTAAGTTTTCCCGCTAAGTTTAGCGGGGAAATTGGCATCACATGACCTCAACACCAATTCAGTTTCCCCGCTACCTTTAGTGGGGAAAATGACGCCACAACTTCGTGTGTTTGTGTCACGTCACTCATGAACAAATTCAGCGGAAGGAGGAGATTGGAGGAAAGGAGGAGGAGGAAGGAGAGTAGGAGGGGCATACTCCCCCCCCCCCCCTCCATCCTCTCCTCACTAGCTGTGCTCTAGTTTCACATTACAGATTAGTAAATGTCTTACATTTTTTTTTCTTTCCACAATTCAAACTTTGGACACTCTGCAAGCACTGCACCCACTTGATGCTTTCAAACTCTTCTTTGAACACACCGTTATGAATTGGATTCTAACGGAAACAAACGACTATGCAGATCAGCCGAGCGCACAGCCCGATTGAAAGATTGGGCAAACTTGTTATAAAAGACTTGGTCAAAGACTTCTGCACGACTGACCCAATGACTGAGACACATTTTTTTACAGCAAAGCTGTTATTCGCTAGGATCTGGGAAAAAATGTGCCTGCAGATGTTGACAGAAAACTCCTTATTGGTCGTGGCAAGTATGAATAAATCAAAATAAAAAGCAGGAGCAACAGCGTGAGTCAGCCTTCCTTGGCACAATTTGAGTGAGGTCCTGATCCCTTGTTATCATCTCAAGGCATTGTCCTCAAGGTCGTCCTAGAAGTTGTCCTCAAAGTCATTCTACAAGTTGTCCTAGACGTCATCCTAGAAGTCGTCCTTTAGGTCATCCTGGGTGTCGTCCTCGTGGTCATCCGAGAAGTCGTCCTAGAAGTCGTCCTCTAGGCGGCGTCCTAGAAGTCATCCTTGAGGTTGTCCTCTAGGTGCCGTTCTCAAGGTCGTCCTGGAAATCGTCCTTGGTCATCCTAGACGTCGTCCTCCAGGCATCGTCCTAGCTGTTGTAAAAATAACAGCTTCGTTGATCTTCCATCTTCACGTGAAGTAGAAGGGCTCTACAATTTTTCTGTACAGTGGAGCTGTTAAGGGCTAGTTTCCCCAAGATCATGTCCATCCTCAAATGACCTGATGACACAAAACTCTGGAGAGCTACCGCCATCTATGAGCGATGGTGGCAACCAGACAACTGGCAAGCAGGTTGTCTGGTTGACGCCATCGCTCATAGGCAATCAGACAGCTTGCTTGCCGGCAACCAGACAACTTGCTTGCCGGTTGTCTGGTTGCCGCCGTCACTCATAGATGGTGGCAACCTTTCGAGCCTTTCCACTCTGGCTAGCCGACTTGTGGCCGGCCATTACTTCATTCCCACCGTAGTAAAGCTTCGCCGGTCTTCCTTCTTTACCATAGTGGAGAGGCTGAAAGTTTTTTTTTTTTTTACGCTCTTCTCAGTGAATTGATATAGAGTTCTGCATTTCAGTGCCAGCACCGATATGCAGCCGATAGCCTGAGAAAAATAAAAACATCCATGAAATAAATGTAAGGGCACAAACGAGCTGGTGTACATTAAACATGATTCAAAAACCTAGAGACTGCAGGTTAACGACACACGCACTCAGAAGTCTCAAACACAGCTGAAATTTTATTTGCCAAAATCTGGATAAATACAAAAAAAGAATGAATGAAAAGGGGAAGGGAAAAACCCCAAGAACACCTCTTTCCACAAATGTACATCCCTAACAGTTAGCAGGACAATGACGACCACCCGAGACATCTTCCTCCTCTCTTATTTTTAAACCCTGTCACCCTGACCCAAAACGAACAAAACTTTTCTTACTGGAAACTTGTAGACATTTCAAGGACAGCACATTTCAAAGCCTAAGAAATTGCCGAAGTTCGTCGTCCAAACCAAACGAAGGCTTATTAACAGCCTTTCCGTGGCTTAGTATTGTGAGTGATTCTTTTATCAAACGTTTAACCAGGTTTTGGAAAATAAAATTTCAGCTGTGTTTGAGACTTTCGACTTTCGTTACCTGCAGTCTCGAGGGTTTTTGGATCGTAAAATATCTATGTTGGCGATTCAGGCAAAGTTTTCGAGCCTGCTATTCTCATACCAAGACCTGCGCACTGATGAGAAGACGGATTTTCTTTTGTCAACGACTTCCATCAAAGAAAAATCACCTTGGAGTAAAAATATGTTTTCTATGACTTGAAGACCGGATACACACTGAAGTTCACTGTGCATACCTGGGGCACTACGAACATAATGGTGCTGAAGAAATTGGCATTTTCGGGCTCCACCGTTTTGGAAATGCTGGCTCAGTACATCAGAAAGGGGCACTCCTTTTCGTTATCAGCTGGTACATCAGTCGTCACTGTTCCAGTTTAAGGGAAACAAACTGACGCTTGCAGGACAGTGTGGGCAAACAGAAAGGGACTCGCCAACTTCACAAAAAAGATGAGAAAAGGAAAAGTGGAGTCTTTTCACACCGGGACTCTTTTAGCATTGAAGTGGTGCAAAAAGAGACAAGCCCACATGCTGACATCGCTGCATGGCGGCTATTGCAACGACACCGGCAAGGTGGACAGAGTGAACGGAAGCACAACCAGAAAGCCCGCCTGCATGTACTCGAGTACAATCAAAAGATGGAACTTGTTGACAAGGCTGACATGCAGCTGAGCTTTACCGAAAGAATCAGAAAGACCGTCAAGTGGCATAACGGTACGAACTTGGGCAAGTTGGTGGTACATCGTATAGAAATAAAAGTGCTAAAAACACGAAGGATGAGTAGAAGGACGTACACCACAGAGTGCTTTTCAACTGGTTTAATTTCGAAAAAGACACATACCGCAATAACAAGTCACATCACCCAATCTTTACCATCCAATTGCTCATCACTTTTTTTCTTTCTTAAGCCCTGAAGAATTGCAAACGTGACAACTTGAAATTAAACAAGTTTATCGAGGGGGCACCACCACATACTTCGTCACACTCGGATATAAAAAAAACGCTTCCACTGTCTCTCGTCTTCTTGTTTCGGTTTTTGTACTAAGATAACGGTGCTGTCAAAATAGGGTACACTTTCGCAACTACTACAGTGCACTGCAAGATCACATGAGGGGGCTGAACGCATCGACGGGGCGTATTCCCTCAAGCCTTTCATTCACGCATCGCTCCGATTGCCCAAAGTGTACCTTCCCACGAGACCAGGGGATTCTGTATACCACCCCTACCTTGCAGCCTACATACTTCATCGTATACTTTATCTGACGTATAACTACTCGCTGATGTTCACGTTTTACCTGCCCGCATAATTTACTAAGTATTTGTGGACCTGAGAGCAGAACTGGAATTCCATGTTTTTTTCCTACCTTTTTTATGCTTTGGCTTATGTTATGTACATATGGTATTACCACTAGTCAGACTTTTGGCTTTTCTCGACCTTTTACCTACCACCTGAAGCTTCGCTTTCTACCATGCCCCTAGCAAGCAGAAGCGGGAAGCCTCGAGTAGTTTAAGTTTTCTTTCACCTACCCTACATGTCACTCCTGAATCCACACATCCCTCACCATGAGAAGGGGACCCACAAAACCTCGCTCTCACATCTCACAAGAGACATAACATACCAGATCATGGAAGAACAGTGCAGTGAGGAAACGGGGCTGGAGGCCGAGGGGAGACAATCCAATGAGGCTGAAGGAACAAAGTTTCCTCGAAAGGGCGCCAAAAACCTTGGCCCAAGGTACACAACGAAAGTGACACGTGTGCACACATACCTCGGCAACAAAAGCAATAGGAAGGACACAAGGTACATGTGCTCAGATTTGGAAAAGGCACTGCGTGCAGTGCCATATGCTTCGAAGACTAACACACACCAAAGAAGTACTAAAACAAACACCTGTAAAAACGTGTGTGTCATTTAAATTTTAAACATTCTTGCGCAGCAATAAACTGATGTTTTTGTGTTTTTTTTCCCCCATTGGGGGAAAAAGAATACAACTTTTAAGAACAAAAAAAAAAGTGAAAGCCGTTTACAACTCCCTGTAACACCGAATTGGAGCGCAGCTCTTGAGGAGGAGGAGGGAAGGGTACTGAGGGGAAGGTAGACCCCTCCTCCCTTCTCCTCCTCCCCTCATTCTTTAAAGGGGCACTGACACATGAAAATCATATTTTTTTTTATTATCCGAAACGATTGAAAACGATGCCGGGACATTACCCTCAAAATTTGAAATTTGGGAATTCAGTATTCGTGAAGTAAAAAAACAATTTCCAAATGCCGAATTCGAAGTTCCCGCGCGATCGGCGCCGGTGCCTTGACGTCAAAAATTGCGGAGACCTGAAAGTCCCCTTTCTTTCACCACTCCCTGCTGTTGCCATGGCAACCCAAAGCGAGGGGGAAAGGAGCGAGCGGCGGCGTTCCGGCGGACCGGTTTTGAGCGGTGTCGCCTGTTTTCCGTTGGAGGATACAAATCCAGGAGACGGCACCACAACGAACTCCTGATTTTTGGTATTTCAAAAAGAAGGGCCGTAGTGCGTTCGCAATTGCGTTAAAAAACATGTTTTAGGATTGCCGTAATTAAATGTTATAGAGATGTCGCCTACAAAGCTTCTAAATTTCATGAATCTTGACGTCACCGATCAAAAGAAGCGAGGAGGCGAGAGGCGGGAAAATCAAACGCCAAAAATAAAAAGGGGCGCGCGCGCGCGGGAAAATTTTTTTTTGCAATGCGGGTTTTTTTGCGTGTCTATGACTGCAACTTGCATCGTTTTAGACAATAAACATAAATACGACCTTTGGGGTGTCAGTGCCCCTTTAATATGCTCCGGGGGGGTCACCTGACCTCAGGGGGAAGGGGTCATCTGACCTCGGGGAGAGGGGGGTATCGCACGAGTTCGGGGGGGGGGGGGAGGGGGGGTCACGTGACCTCGGGAAGGGGGGGCCACGTGATCTCGGGGGTCACGTGGCCTTGGGAGGGGTCGCGTGACCTTGGGGGGGGGGGGGTCACGTGACCTTGGGGTGACCTAGGGGGTCACGTGACCTTGGGGTGATCTTAGGAGGGGTCGCGTGACCTTGGTTACGCCGACGGCGACGCCGCTCAAGCCGGAAACGGGCGCTTAAGAGCTGCGCTCTAAAAAAGCTCTATCTTCAAAGGAGGCAACAAAGTTTTGTTTTTGGCCCCAAGCATCCTTGGTAGCCATTGTAAGCAAAATAATATGAACCTTGTGAGAAAACCACCGAAACCACATTTCCAGTGTCTTTATGTGCATTTATTCGACACAGATTACGCTGTACAAAAATGCTGTCTGATGATTCGCAGAACTATCAAGTTATGAATGAGCAAACCACACCGAAAAGAGCATTGTATTTGGTATTACTTGTGCCACTTCCTTAAAAGTGTGGAAAATTATTCTCCGGACCGATATGCAGCAGCATGTTTGGGATCACTTCCAACGGCGTGCATCCTCCAAAAACCCTTTGTTAACACACTTGTTTTTAACAGCTGATTATGTACAGTTCATAATAGTACAATAATTAAAGTCCGGTCATGCTCGAACACAGTGGTTAGACCAGCTAATTCGTAGTTAGTTCTTTCAAAAAACATTTGCTTGCACTAGTGGCACTTGCACAATCCTGGACAAATATAAAGTCATGAGCAACATGGGGGAAGCTGAATTTGCAGGGTGTAAAAAAACACAAACGCTACAAGCTTGAACGAGCAATTTAAATACCACAACCCCTATGCAAACATATGTTACGTAAAAAGAAAAAAGAAAATGGTAAATCAAAGTGTTCTCTAGTAAATTTGCTCTGTAAACCTAAATATTGCATACATATAAAAAAAGGCAATATGTACATTATATCCACACACTGTTATGCCGCACGGCTAGCATTCGTACAACAGCAAACGGTTCCTGTAAGAACGAAGAAACACGCTCCCGTAAGAATAACGGCGAACGTTTCCGTAAAAACAACGCCGCGTTTGACGCCTCGAAAGAATACTATGTGGCGGCATGAATCTTGTACGCCAAACAGAATTCTGCAAAACTCTGTTTTAACGGTACTAGGAGACAGTGGCCACGCAAAATTCCGGCGAAAACATAAGCAGTTGTGCCGACAGATACCGGAAAACAGAAAAATGGCTATCAATAAATAACAATATACATATATAGTGCCTAGTGCCAAACGGGCGTTTCCCCGTTGCCCGGAGATACTTTACGTCCCTTTTCTCCGTGGTTAGTGTCCTGAGAAACCGGCGAGCTTGTGGCTCAAACGAAAAATTGGAATTGGGCCAAAGCCCGCAACGCGTCGAAACAGTTCTGGCAATGATGTCTTGAAAATCCTAGGGGAGCTTCGAACGTTAGTCTATGTAGTCGTCCGCTTCTTCCATGTAGTATTCGTCCTGCTCCTCCCCTGCAAACGCAGAGAGGCAGCGTGGTAAGCAACAACCCCCGCACTAGTAACAGCTCAGAATACTAAGTGCCTTCATAAAGCATAGAACAGGCACATTTTTTCATCGCTTATACGTTTGCTGTGCATATCGCATTTGCACGTGGCACCTAACTTAAATTTGGAAGGTTCCCCGCTTTCTCTTTCAATTTATAATATAACAACAGCTTGTTGTTGAAAACCATAGAAATAGGAAGCTTCTCAAGGCAACATGACGCCACCAGAGGTGTAGCCGGAGAAGATTTTCCCGACTTCCCGCAAGCAAGGGGGGACACTACCCAGAAAAAGAAACTTCCGCAAAGAAAGTCCATTTTGAAAAATGCCATATTTACATCCATCAACATCTAGACATCAAGAGAAGGGGCCTCAAACGTGCAGCCCGCGACTCGCTGAGACGCGGCCCTCGAGCATCAACGGGTGCTTTGCCCCGTTCCCGAGCCTTAAGCTCTATATGCCTCATAAATAATTGTTTAATCTCGTCGGTTCCTTTAAGCTCTAAACGTAACACGTGCTCACCTATTTTTGTCTATTTCCTTTTCTCAGCTATACCTTTCTGTTCCTTCGATTTTTATGTTCACTTCTGCCCCAGTCTCAGGTTTATTCAACATGGTTATACAAAAATCCCACACCAATGCTACAAGCACAAACTCTTCAGGCCGCACCTCGGCTGCACAAACTCCTGCTCAGCAGGACCAACTTCTAAAGATAAAGCTTAGAACTCTGCTTTCTACCACTCAAGAAGGACCATGAAACGCACAAGAATTGTTTTATAATTGAGCTATAAAAATTTTCAGGCAAACTCAAACTCTCGTATGAAGGTTTCTGTAGTTTTTTTTTCTTTAGGCATATGTTTAATTTTAATACTTCCCAAGTGAACTGACCAACACGACAGCGACAGTGTGCTTTCTCTCTTGTTCTACTGAAAAGTGCCAGCACGTTAGCGGAGCGGCGTTATTTAAAATCTTGTTATCACATCAGGCAAGGGCCCAAAGTAATCACATAATGAAATCAAAGTTAAACATGTCACCGCTAAAACGGCAAGTTTGCGGAGAGCAGACAGCACGAAGTTCCATCTCCAGGAAAGCTCAAATGTGCCACTGAGACTCAGCTACTTCGCAACATAAAAAGGAGCTGTTTCTTTCGTTTTTTTTAGGTTTGTTGCTTGAAAACATGATAAAACATAATGCCCTCCCCCCTTCTGCATTGGCCCTCGACCTTTCAGGGTGGGCTGCCTCTGGCCCCCACATTCGAATGAGTTTGAGACCCCTGATCTAGAGGGTATTCCCAGAAATGTTCATTTGTTTAGACTGCATAGTTATTTTTTTTTAAATTATTCTGGGTCCGCCGATGCTAAACAAATGGTAGCGGTTCAAGCACTCTGAACACATTTTTCTCCGTCCCACTTTTCGGCACGAATTTCACTTTAGGAAAGCTATCGTTTGGTAATGGGCCAAAGGAAAAGGCTTACTCACAGCTTTTCCTGACTGGGATTTAATGGGCAATGCAACTGTGGCATTGCTTTTTTAGTTTGTGGACGTCTTTTACAGAAGATGTTAAGATTTTGTCGACAACATAAAAAGCAAAAAATGTATTTGATTTTTCGGCGAGATGTTATCATAAAATTAATTATTTTTTGGAAATTTTGTTTTCACAATTGCACTCTCCAGGCATTCTGGAGAGCGCAAAGAAAAATGTTTGGTATAATGTTAGTTTTCTAACTATGGTTTCCCTAAACAGTGTCAGTGTGTTCCAGAGAAAAACAACTATAATTTCTTTCACAATTCACGCACAAAGATGAAACTTTGCACTGCATTTGTCATCGCAACTGCCAGTATATACCGTAAATTTAATTCATATTAAGCCAAAGTTTCAAAAGTTCAACCTTTCGGGCAGGCACGTAGCCAGGATTTTGTTTCGGGGAGGGAGGGAGGGAGGGAGGGAGGGAGGGGAGGGGAGGGGAGGGGGGGGGGGCACCAATGACAAAATGCTGTATGAGAGGAAGGGGGAAGAGGAGGGCCCAGCAAAATGGAAGATTTCGGGAAAGGGGGGGGGGGGGGCCCGGGCCCCATGCCCCCCCCCCCCCCCCCCCACCTCGCTACGTGCCTGGTTTCGGGCAGTGTCTTCCCTTAAGGCCCGTTCACACACTTCCGTCTGACTACGACCGAGACAGAACCAGTTCTTAAGCCCTTTGCGAAAGCTTATGACCGCCTGCATTGCTGCGCAAGCCGTCGCAAAAGGCTTAAAACTCGGCCTTATCCGAGTCTATCATAGTCGAAAGCAAGTCTGTGATCGGGCTTTTACGATGTTCCCAAAGGTCGTCCACAGACCTCAACGTATGTGTTGCAATAAAATTTGAAGGATTACATCTTACAAAGTAGCTATTGGTTCCAGGTTGCGCACTCACCTCTGTGTTGACCTAATAGCTGTGCCACACTCAAGTGCTGCTCCTTCTCTTCATAGTCCTCATCCAAGTCCTCGTCTTCTGCAATAATGATAAAAATGTGCACCAGGTTCACTCAGGGCAACCAGCAAGTCTTGCAGTGGCAGAAAGGGGATTCGAAAGTTCTGATATGAGTGCATGGTAAAACTCCATTTAAACATCTCAGTAACGTCGCGGAAAGAATTACTACCACTCCAGTCGACGTTCCAAGCCCAAGTGTTTGGTGGTGAGGAACAATCTGCTGACGATGATGATGAAGTAGTGCGGGTTACCAACACAGAGCCAAGAACACAACATTACCTGCAGTAGATTCAAATCAGAGGCCATAGCCAACAAAAAAGCAGAGCTAAATATCTCGGGCATTCATCGGCATTTACGGGCAAAGAAGTTAATTAATTGATGTGAGGTTCAGTTTTTTTTTTTTCCATTTCTAAGAACAAAAATAAAAACAGATTTTTGCTGCCTGTTCAAGAAAAACGTAAAAGTAAAAAAAAGAAGAAAAAACTTCGACAAAAAAAGGTAATATGATTGGCAATAATTTAAAACAGCATTATTATACTGCTTTAACAAGTATAAGAGTTTGTAAGTAATAAAAGTATTATTCTATATGAATAAGTATGTGCGTGCAGGTATAAGACTAATTTATCCAATATTTTTATTTTAGCACGTAGGAGAAACTTTTGCCTCCAAGCGAACTATAGCGGTGGATAGCAGTAGTGTGACAGTGACAATCTTTGACACTTCAGATGATGAAAGGAAACCATGAGAGTAACGACAAAGCCACGTATGCATAGAATGTCTAGCAGTGCATAGCACCAAACCTGGACCACAGTGCAAGCCACTTATAACCATAATGAGAAAACCCGAAATTTCCATCGTTATAACTAGGGTGTGCATTTTCCGGTTTTAACCGAAAAACACCGATAAACATCCGTCGGTGACGAAAATATAAAATCGGTTAAAACCGAAAAACACCGGTGGTTGGATATTTTCGCCCTGGTTAAAACCGAAAAACATCGGTCGTTGCTATTTTCCGACCTAGCGAAGCCCTTTCCCCGTAGAGGTTCGTCAAACGTGTTATCTCGTGGATCCTGCATTCTTCAAGTGTTTATACATGGCTTGCAGGTGGCGCCAGTCCGCCCTCCTTTCTGGGGGTCAAAAGCGTCTGGTGAACGCAGTGGAAGCTAAGCTCTCATACGCCTTTCCCCTATTGTGTCTCCCATGTCCCTTTTTTGTGGAAAAATTAACACAGTGGAGGGTAGGCTCTCACGTGCCTTTTCCACATTGTGTCTGGCCAAATGATGTCGGTGCAAGCCATGTATTCAGAGGTTGCTGTGGTTCCTGGAAGACACTGCCGATGTCCGTGTCGTACAGGAGCGTGCGTTTTCATAATTGCGGGTTGCGAACCGCAAGGAACGTGCTGCCATGACGGCAGCACGTTCCTTGCGTGTAGATGCAAGCATGAAAGTATGCTTGCATCTACTATAATAACCAAGTGTGAGAAATAGTTGCTTCCTAGAGAAGAAGTGTATGAACTATGTGAATAAAATTGGAACTCTCTGTCTGTGATCAATCGCTTTTTTTTCACCGATAATCACCGTTTTTAGCCTCATCGTGAGATGTTCCACCGAAAGACGTCGGTGTTTTGAAAATAAATAAACACCGAAAAACATCCGCCGATTTTTCTCACAAATAAACACCGGAAAGTACACACCCTAGTTATAACCGATTATCGTTGTATCTGGACTAGAAACAAACATTTTGCAGTCTAGAATCTCTAGAAACTGATTGTTTTAAGCGGTACATTGTTATATGTGGTATCGTTGTAAGTGGGTTGCACTGTATATTCTCAAAACCAACGGTTAGTAAAAAGAATATAGTCGGCCCTTCCCCGTATAGTGTGGCAAACGCAGTGGTAGCACAGAATGTGATGTGTTAGTACAGTGTACTAGAATACCGGGAAGTGTTGGAACCGGCACGGCTCGGAAATGGAAGCTCATTAAGCTGCGTGTGTAGGCAGCAATCGTAGCGCTGCAGTAGTCACGATGGTGGAAAGTCGCTGCAGCTCACCAAGTTTGGCGAATATTGCATCAGGTTTTCGCAACCGTTCGCAACGCGCCTATCGCGGCACACGGCACTACTTTTTCACCCTACTAAGGATGCGCCAGTGTTGACAGTCGTCGTGATCTACACCACGAGCCCCACGCGAAGGTCCCAACACTACCCCGTATTCGAGTAGTGCTAGTGTGGAGAAACTGTGTACACATGTGGAGACTGGATGGCGCAAAGTGGCCCTGTCTTGCGCAAGCTAACCGCACGAGCGTTCCCACGCCACGCCACGCCACGTGCCCCACGCCACGCGCACCACGCCACGCCACGCCACGCGCCCCACGCCACGCCACGCCACGCCACGCCACGCTGAGCGTGCCGTGCCGCCGGTTGAACGTGTTTCTCCATGCCGCCGTCAATTTCTGACCAGTGCACAGGTCTATCACATGGTGCTTGCGCCCTTTTGGGAGCTTCCTTTGGACTCTAAAAGTCACTTATTAATCTTCTTTTTGTTGCGCTTCAAACGAAGATTCATAAGTAGCTTTTAGAAACCACAGGAAGCTCCCAAAACAGCGCAAGCACCACGTAACCATAGCGGCCAGTCACATGACCATAGCAGCCACTTTTCCGCAGGCTCCGGAAAGCGCCAAGTGCAAATTCGTTTCGTGCCTAACTATAGCTCTAAAAAAAATTTTTTTCGTTGTAAGTTTGTTTTGTGACATTCTTTTTCCATCTAGGCTGTCTAAAAAAATAATTTTTTCCTTTATACATGTCCTTGAACCTGTTGCGGCAAAGGGGTAAGCTTTGTTTTCTTCTCTGCTTTTCTGCGACTCTCCAGCTCTTTCTCTGAGGAATTGCGGTATGTGCACATTTCTTGGAGCTGAGTGCCGCTGCACGTCTGAACACGTGATGTTTTCCCTTCGCGTTGGTACCACGGAGGCACTTGAGAAAAAAGTTTGGCTGGCACCGGTGTTCAATCAAAGAGGAGACGAGCACTGCGTCGGCATTTGGCTGGCAGTCGACCTGTCGACTTCCATTGCTGGCATCTAACCGGATGTTGGTTAGGTAAACATATTCTGCGTTAAAAGGGCAGGGGGGCACCTACCATGCTCGAGCATTTCGTCTTCCAACTCCTGCATGGCAGCAAGGTCCTTCGAAGGCACTTCCTTGACCACCTTGGCGGCTGGTTCGTCCTGCTGGTGGGCAAATTACAAAACGTCACAAAGACCGTAGCGGGACGCCGATTACAAACCTACCGTAAATAGATTCCAGAATCCCATAACTCTGCCAAATTTTCACCGCGACTAATTTTAAGCTTTGGTTAAATGAGGATGAACGACAACGACAGTGATGTTGCATTGAACTTGCAAGCATCTCCCTCAAAAGAGCTCTAATAAATTCAAATTTGCACGGATACTCGCACGAGTTCTGAAGCATCGAGGGCACTACGGACGAGCCCCAGATCTGTGCGTCTGCCGAATACAAAAGTGTGGACCCAACTTCTTGTTGACCCTCCAAGGAACCATTTCAAATTGCTTTGTCAACAGATTGCGAGGTAGTAGACTCTCATTAATTCAAACTCCAGGAAGCCACAAGTTTTGTTTGGGTGATCAGAAATTTATCTAAATATGATGGAAGATAAAATTATGATTTGCTCTATGGATGGCTACACATACAAAGCAGATATTTGACGATTTCCTCCTTGAAGGCCTACTAACCACAATAACGTATATGCTACATATGAAACATTGATGAAATGTATGAGATAAGTGTATTCATCACTCAAAAATGTTGTCTATCGTGGACTGTTTAGACAGCAGATGACACTTCAAAACAAAATTAAGACAGTTCATTCAAACAAAAAGTTCTCCGATTTGGACCATTGAGTGCACTTCTTGTTGAGCACCGGTGCACTGCAGAGAAGTAACACCTGCAAAAGTGAGCTCCACGCAACGAGGTAGAGGGGCTTAGATTGATAAACCGGAAGTTCCGAAGTGGCACCCCCCCGGTTGCCGCCATGTTTTACGCAAATGTGACCACTCGTCACGTGACCTCACAAGAGCCGTGACGTCGCAGGTAAGATGGCAGCGCCCAGAGCTGGCGTATGCGAGTTTGTTCGGTGCGCGGCAGCCGTGATGTGCAGCGGCTTTCCGACGATTTCGGGCTTTTTCGTGCTTGCTGACGCAGGTATATTGTGAAAATATGAAGGAATGAGACTTTATACCCTTTTTGCACAAGATCGGATCATCTGGATATTAACACCTGTGAGACAGCATCAGCCGTATCGCCGTACCGGTGCTCGGATTCCGGGATGTGTTCAAGGATCGATAGAACTTTGAGTGCTTTTAGCATGAAATTTTCGCGTTCTCTTAGCTTTGTTTGAACATTGAAATGTCTATGAATCGACGCGAAAGGTATACGTCGCGTTAGGGCCTAGGAGAAGTTGTTTCAGGCCTGCGTCACCGAATAACCATAGCAACTTTTAGCGAGGAAGCTCCTGCGATCTTTAACCCTTTGTGCTAATCGACGATTCTACATTCGATCGCCTTTCTTCCTTTTTTTGGTGAGTGCGAAGTGCGCACTTATTTTCAGCTACGAGGATGACGTTTTATTGAGTGTGGGGATGAATAAATCGTTGCAGGCACCTGCTTCAAAGCTATTCGACTTGCAATAACAACTGTTTTGGTGTATGCATCGATTAACTGCACCTTTTTCTCTTTCGTAGGATTTATTGCAGCAATACTTTTTTTCATCAAAACTGCATTGTATTAGTCAGTCAATTATTTACTTGGTCTAATTACCTGGATAAGATGATTCATATTTGTGTTCATCCCTTGCCTGAAGAGCAGTCTTGTTGAAAAATGTTGACCATTCCTTTCGGTCTCTTCAATAACCTTTTTTTGAAAGGTGTGGGTTGCCTATACTTCGTATCATTGTTACCTGGAAAAGGACAACCACCACAGCCCCCTCGAGCCAATCAGAGACACAGAGCGAAGGTGTGTGACAAATCTGTGCAGACGAGCACTCTGAATGACATGTTGTCATGTGCCTCTTTCCAACGTGCATATTGGCTCACCGAGACTGTAGCCTTTGCTGTTTGCCAAATTGTGATGAAACAAATTACAGTAGCTACTACTGTAATTACCCCAGGCTTTCATACTTTGGTCATTTGTTCGACAAGAATGTTACATCCGCCATCACTGTGAACTCGGATCAGCGCCTATTGGACTCGAATGCTTCATTAGCATTTGACGTGAACTGGGGCCCATTTTTGTGCTTTGCGCCGAAAAAAAAAAAATGGCAACAGTTGTGTTGCTTGATGGGTTTATGCAAAGGGTCTACGTATAGGAAGTGTCCTGCTATATAACAATGCATCAACACATACGAATAAAGTATATGCTCAGAGGTGTGTTCAGGAAAAGTGGAATGAGTGCAGCCCAATGCAACAAGTCTGCCAGTCTGGTATGTCCCATCAATTAATATTGAAGGGTCACAGATGCGAGTGTCCTCAAAAGGACCTGCGCGTGTGGTGAACACTATTCTTGGTGTATAAACTCTCAAGGCATAAAGGCAAGCGGAAATAGGTTTATCTGGTTAGTGTATCAAATGTTTATTTCCACTGCATTACATAATTATTGATTCTTAGTTAATGGTTCTAGAACGAGTTCTTTCTGCGACAGTCTCAATCGTAATACCTGTGGACCTTGTTGTGGGATGACGCTCCTGGCACGTCGGTGTTCAGTTTGGTCGAGTAGCAACTTTAACCGACTGATGCCGTCTTGTAATCATACGTCATGTGCGCCTACTGACATCTGATGCACTGAAGCTGCAGGGCTGGCTTCTAATCCGCAAAATTTTCCTGGTAGTTTTCTGCATCAATGCAGCAAGCTCAGGCATGCATTGGTTATGTGGCTGTGCCTTTTGCTGTACCGTTGACTTGATAGCTGGCAACAATGTTTGCTATCCAAGCCATTTCACTTCCATTTCATAATGGAGATTTATTGTGCATCCCACGACCACTGCAACTTGTGCAAGTCTTGCGTGGCAAAGTGAAGTCTCGTGACGCTTGCAGTCCATTTTTGAGAGAAACCAACCATTCTATTTCTTAAGGTCACTGAGCGGCATTCTCCCTCAAAGTTGGAAACTGTGTGCTTCATGGCGTGGACACAGATAATTAGTGTCAGCAAATTATTAGGTATTGTCCTTGGACGACAACCGACACCAGGTCAACTCTCCTTGCATTGCCGCTCACCTGCCTTGTCATGCTTACCTCCCGTCCAGATGAAGTAGATCACAAGCTTCGAGGTAACGTCGGCACCAGGGACAAAGACCGCCGAAGATAATCCTCAATCTTCCCCGGATGCTCGTCAAGACGTGGTCGAGGGTCGTTCGGGACGAACCCTTGCAAGCCAATTCATTGGTACGGGCACCTCCAGTAGACAAAGTCGGCCTCATGCAATGGTAGCAGAGTGGTTTTCGGTCGGCCATTCGCAGTACCTCCGTCTTCCTCGGTGTACTTTGTTCAGCGCGGACCTACACTGGTTCTTCTCGATATCGGGAATGCTTCAGCATTGGGGCGTTTCGTTGGATTGGCATTGAATAGTAACAAGTAGCCGGTGGTGGTCATTGTGACTTTGTGGCATAAGTCGCCCTTGTTTTGTCAGATGCCGCTTCGCTCGAAGAAGTCTCTAGTTGAAATGCCTGTCAAACTTCTGAAAAAATCTCGGCGATCAAAATTAAAGCCGGGCAACTGATGGCAGGAACTAGCTTCCTTATCTCCTCCCGGACACCGTTGTGAATGATGTCACGGATGCCTGGGGGGCTGGCGTCGAAGTTGCAGCTGGACGACTTGAGTGTCGCGACGCTGGGGAGTTTTTAATAGTGACGTGCTCGGGCCTGCAGTGTGCATTCAATGTTGAAAGCTGCACTGATATGAACCCTTCGACTGTTGTCGTGGGGTTGCGGAAAAGGCTGCTGAAGGTGTTGTCCCTCACATGAGGAACATGGGATTTTTAGCTTCTTGTCTTCTGTAGCATCAGGGTTGGCGTGGATGCTCGATCAGAAGCAAAACATCCTCCACGAAGGTGGACGCTCTCGTTGGGGCCGTGTCCTGGACAGAATCGGGAATTCGGCTCTCTCTTGTCGATGTTGGCTGATGAACATGCACTTCAGCTCAGTCTTGCAAACTTCCCACGACGTTAAGGAGGATTCGTGGTTCTCAAACCAGTGCCTCACAGTTTCTTCCACGAGAAGTATACACGTTTGCAAGTCCGGTCTCAGGGCGCCGCCATCTTCCTCAGTGGGGTGCGCTCTCGGGAGCGGCCATAATCCGATTACGACGCCTTAGCAAGGCTTCGTAATCGGATTATGACTGGTCCAAGCGCACCCCAGACAGGCAAGATGGCAGCGCCCTGAAGCCGGACTTGCAAACGTGTATAGGTTCTGCAGGAGCTGGTTGTCCATCTACCCACTGTGGCTGGCGACACGGTCATATTGTTCAATCCAGCCCTCGACGTCTTGTGCACCTTGCATGAAAGGGCATCGGAGTGCGAGGTGCGACGGGCATGCAAACGATGGTGGGAGCGAACGTGGTTTGCTGCGACAGGGTTGTCATTGTTGGCTTAGTCAGCTTCGGTTTTTCTGGCAAAAGACCTAATTCCGTTGGTTCTTGCTGGTAGCAGCACCTGGCTTGGATTTCAAGTTCTTCGTGGTGTATTTCCGAGTTTTGCCCTTGTAGTACTCGCTCGTCTTGCAATTTTGCTGCCGGGCTCGGGATAGGACTTGGTTCACGGCTCGCCGGGGGTTTAAGACTCGGGATAATGTGCCACCCGTGTCTTGTTATCGGGCAACTCGGCTGAGGAGCCGCCAGGGTAGACACAGAGTGAAGGGCTATGGGTAAAGTGTGCAGCACCTCCACCAGAACATACAATGACAGCTGAGCATGGCCTGGAACTGTCCAGAATAGTAAATATTGATAGAAAATAGGACTGGAGCAAGCATCGGAGACAATATAACAAAACAGACAGAAAAGAGTCTATCCTGACCACTAAAGAAGCTGCACTGCTTTAGTGGCATTCTGTCTGAATATATCCTCTCCTTCGGGGTCTGGCGACTGCCGTGGACGAGCTGAACTGAAATCGATGTGAGACCACTTTTCTGGTAATGAGCCGCTGCAGACTTCCGTCGCAAAGCGGCGTGAATGGGTGGAGTGGGTAGGTAATGCGCGCGATGAAATGTCCACACAGCTTGCAATTCGCGTAACGAGTGTTGAAACTTAGGTGTCGACGAAACGTGCGACAGACCAGCGGACTCAATACCAACTGCAACACCTGTGCTCAGTGAAGGTGCCCGTCTACGCCAGAACAATTTAGTAGGCAGCACAGCATCACCTAAAGCACGGCACAGGAACTACCAGCTGGAAGGCAGCTCTTCGGCGCGCCGCACACCTGTGCTCCGTAAAAGAGCACGTCTACGCCGAAACAATTTTGGAAGCAGCACAGTATCACTTAGCACGGCACGGGAACTAAAAGCGGCAAGGCGGCTCTCCGGTGCACCTTACAACCAAAGTGAGCCTTCGGGCATTTGGACGAAGTGACACCACGATTGCACACTGCCAAGCACGACTCACGCAAATTCCGTCGCTAAACTGTGTATACAAATATATTGCACACGTTTTACTGCAGATCTCGAAGGTTCCGACGGTCAACAAGAGCACAGAAACGTCGCCTTAAATTTTATCCTAGCGGTATCCGAATCAATCCGAGGTGCGAGCAACGTAGGGCAGATTGTCTCTTCCGTGGCAATATCGCCGTCGGTCACCAGCGAAATGCACACCGTTCCTCCGTATTTTCACCTTGTACCTACGTCAGACACCACGCTGAACTCTGAAGTCGTTGTCGACCGGCCTTATATGACGGCTTCTGCGCCTGAAATCAACTCGCCGAGACGAACGACAACCAACAAAGCATCCGATAAGCTCCGGCCCAGCTGGGGCCAGCCGCTGCATGGGCGCTGCCATCTTTCCTGTGACGTCACGTATTTGGTTTGGTCATGTGACGAGTGGTCAACTTTGCGTACAATGGCAGCCGCCTTAGGGGGGTCACTTTCGAGTGCAGACCGGAACCCCGGTTTATCGCTCTAAGCCCCTCTACCTCGTTGGCTCCACGGGTGTTGCTTCTCCGCAGTGCAGTGGTGCTCGGAAAGAAGAGCACTCAACAAGGACACGAGAACAAAAAGAATGAATTAAACGAAAATGCAGTTAAAATTAAGCGGCTTAAAAACACATTGAAAACATAACGGGACAACAAAAATGTTGAAATTAGTTTGAACTAGCCAGAAGTTTATACCCGAGTTTGAATGATCACTAGCTTGATGAAATTTAGCAGAGGTGTAATTAGACTGAGTATTTCTTTAGTAAATGTATTGTAGGATCAGTTTACCTAACTAAAAAATGACAACAAAAAATGCCTTCTTATGGACTGAACCTAGCTAGCTAGCTAGTTTAGCTACCGTCAAATTAATGACGTGGTGGGCCATTGTGGCCTTTATTTTGGCAAGACGAACGAAATAATACTTTCAGCCTTTCCACACTGGTGAAGGAGGAGGACCAGCGAAGCTGTACAATGGTGGGAATGAAGTAATGGCCAGCCGCACGTCGGCAAGTCAGAGTGGAAAGGCTGGAAAGGTTGCCGCCATCTATGAGCAATGGCGGCAACCTTTCCAGCCTTTCCACTCTGGCTTGCCGACGTGCCTTTACTTCCATTACCATTACTTCATTCCCACCATTGTACATCTATGAGCAATGGTGACAACCAAACTGGCAAGCCGGTTGTCTGGTTGCCGCCATCGCGGCAGCTGTCCGGAGTGTTGCGTCGACGTTTATTTGCTGGCGGACAATACCCTGGGGAAACTAGCCCTCAACAGCTTCGCTGTTAAAATGTGAGCTTCTTATATTTCCCCCCCCCCCCCCCCCCCATCTGCTTTCCTGCCGAAACAAAGGAATGTCCACAATGATGTTTTCATAAAAAAACTTAAATGTTTGCTCATAAAAAAAAAAAGTTTTGGGTGTTTTTTTTTTTTTTAGGTGAGCTCATATTTTCATACTTTCAAATAATAAACGCATTACCTATGGGCACCTCCGCTGTAAATCATAGCATGACACGTCAAGAAAACATTTTATGAGACCCATTCAAAAGGCCAACATACCATCGGGTTCGTGCCACAAACGTGTTCAAGAAAATACAGGGTTGAAAAAGGTGCAGGTTGAATAACGCCGTTCGAAAAACGGGGTTGGAATGGCCTGCCACATTTCCTATTGTGGCAGTGGGGCAGTCGGTTTCGTCATAACTGAGCATGCCCGAAGCAGCCAACATGGCATTTCCCCTTCTCGGCTGGTGCTAAACTGGGCCCGCTCATATTGCCGCTGACTGTACTTAGTCAATCCCAAATTCTTCCTTTAGGTGGTGAGCCCCACTCACCTCGTCGTCGCTGTCCAAGCGAACTTCCTTGGGCTGGCTCCTGAGGAAAACGTGTAAAAATGCAGCAAGATCAGCTCCATTCCAGCACCAAGCACGTAAAGAGGAAGCGTACGCTTCATTCCGAGACAAAGTCCGTGCCTACGGTCATCTAAATCCACATGGGCACAACTGGATGCTCCATGTCACTTTAAAATGCGATTGTAGCAGAACTTTCAGCATCCCTGCCGAGTTAGCACGTTCGTGCAGCGCAAGCATCGTTCGCAGCAGCATGGTCGTGCTTGCCGCTTCGGCTTCGCTTGCGCATAAGGTGAAAAAATTAGGGGTGTGCGAATACCGAATAGTAGTTTTCGAATCGAATACCGAATCGAATCAAGAAAAAAAAGCCGAATATCGAATCGAATATCGAATAGCGATTTTATTTGTAGGAATTTTTCAAAGCGTGCTGCGAATGAGATTATTATATGTGTGGAGTATGCACCTGTTGCAGAATATGCATCTTGTGCAGAACAAATGCTAAAATGTAAAAAAATTCTGGTGAAAAAAAATTTAAAAAATAAAAGCAGTTGCTGTTGGGTGTTGGGCACTAAGATCCAATTTTATGGCACAAATATAATCTATCTTCCCTAAACGTCACAAAAAACCAAAGTTACAGCCACGCATGCCTTTTTTAAGCCCAACCTCACACCGCGACTTTTTTTTTTTATAAATGTTTGCATATCTCAGAAAAGGGGCATTTTGCGATATTTGGTTTCCATTTTAAGGAAGAAAAAGGGCACCCGAGATTTTATTTCACGTAAATAACCAGATAGGTGTTAAATCTTAGTAAACAGGCTTAAACAATATAATCTGAAGTAAGAAAAAAAAGCGTTGCTAGGTGTCGCAAGACACCGTCCAACTGCCGCTATGCATCCACTTTTCCGTCTATCTATCCTGTTCTAAAGAGCCTTGATTTAAAAAGAGGGAGCAAGCGAAACTGAAACCACGGAGATGGCTCCAGTGCAGATTGGTCGTAAGTGCGCATGTGTTGTGTTGTCGCGAGGAAAAAGGCGAGCAAACAGAAGGGCGACGACGCCTGCCCTGCCTGCCCGATCCCGATCGACGCTTTCGTTTTTTCGTCACCTTCTCGCAAATCGTAATTCAAACGCGGCTATCGAACGGTTGGAAACCCTCTCAAATCTAGGCACACTATTTTTCCGTTCCGTTTCGGTCCGAATCAGAATTTGCGGCTGGAGGTGCTTGAGGTTCCAAAAGAACGACGACGATAACTCGGCTGGTTTTATCGGCGTGTTTAACGTGGTTTTCTTTCTGTGATCTTGCAGTCGCCGATTTCTGTGAGTGCGGCAAGTGTGTTTTACATCGGTGCTTCAATTTGAAACGAGGGGCTTTACTCGTGAAAAGAATTAGGCATGGCGCGGGACTTCGGCCTCCCAACAATTCCTCTCTGGAAGCGGCGCAAACGGGATGTTTCGGTTGTGATTTAAGGGTAGGTTGTATCACGATCGTGAGTAAATCTGCGTAATATAAAGTTTGTGGCGTTCGTTACTTTTCTTTTTTCTAACCTGTGCGTTAGATTTTTGTGGAATGGTAGGATCAAGAGCTGTTTTTCGCATGGTTTGTCTAACATCACGGCGCTTACATCGGGGGGAAAACGGCTTTTTTTGTCAGCTCCGCGCCGACCGCGCGTCTTTGGCCGAATATATTGAATATTCGAGTGACCGAATACTAGGAATTCGATTCGCGAATCGAATTATTCGAGAACTTTCTATTCGATTCGAATTCGTATATTCGAGTATTCGCACACCCCTAGAAAAAATCCATAGTGCATTGTCAGTTTTTTTGTCTACAAAGTGAGAAAAAAAGCTGTTTCTGTGGATCGCTCTGGATATCTAGTTGGCTTCGCAACAACAACCAAATCGTCCCCGGTTTTCTGTCGCTTCGTCAAACCAAACACCCCTATGACCAGTAGCAAAACATGTTCTCCCTACAACGTAAAATAAAACGCAACGCTAAGAACAAAGTAACTAGCTTCTTCCCCTAAAATTTCTGGGATATTTTCACGTAAGACAAACATACCCCCTAATCGGGCACCTTTGCGATAAATTACGGCATTGCTTCGTACGAAGCCAATCTTCCATTCCGATAAAGATTTTATATTTTTTCCCCAGATGCCAGGTAAAAGACGGCAAAGAGCTTCCCCAGAGGTCCACAGCATTTCCCTCAGGTTGCCCGACGTTACAGGGTGGTACACACATGGCTATGGACTTCATGGTGGACATGAGCGAAGTCAGCTTTGGCGGCGGCTTCTCCTTCCTCTTCTTCTTGGTCGTTTCGGAAACCACCGATGCAGTCTCCACCAGGTCCACCTCGCTGCTGCCCTGTTGCCAGGCGAGAAGTCGGGGAAGCAACTGATGATCCAAGCTGCGGCTCTTTTAAGTCGTTGCCTCGTCAGATGACATACACTAAAACTATTCTGAGAAAGGCACCGGCATGAGGTCACATATAGCCTCCTGTACCGTACGCATTTTAGAGTTCAGTTTCAGCAGAGCCAAGGCAACGACATGAATGTCTCGCTTCGGTATGTGTCTCGGATGCGCGAGCGAGAGCATTAAATGTTTTAAGTCGCAACTTGTATAAACAAAAGTGCAACTCTCACCGTGAGTGTTGCTTTGCCACAGTGCACCCCTCCTATGGGGGAAGCCAACTTGATAGGGATAAAATAATTTGTGCCAACAAATTATAAAATTACTTCAAGCTACAAATGTTTTGCTGTGCTCAAATCGAACCGACGTCCAAAGGTTTTAAATATGTATTCGCACAGAACTCAAAATGCTCCGTTTCGTAGATGGTGTACAACATTGTCAAGCTACTGGCACATGGCTTCATCTAGCATCTCATTTGCACGGGCGCACATACATCGAACGCTAAGTTAACGGTAAGGCGCGTACCACCAACTTTAATGTCTCCATATGCAAAGAAAAATATTTGCCCTGTGCAAAGAATGAGATGGATGACCCACGATCTTTTAGGCTTCTCATGATCTTTCCCATTGGTTGAACTTTTGCTTCCAGTCCCTCCGTAATGCCCTCCAAACATAGAAGTTAGAAGTACAGTAGGACATCTCCATATACTAGTCAGTCTCTCAAAAAACAAAATCTCTACTGTTATCAGTATCACCACAATTCCAGTACCACAGACACCTCTACCTGTATTACAAGCACATTTGAACTATGCTTCACTAATTCATATCTTTGCTATATCTACACTATGGTACCGTAGCGTAGAATCTACCTACACTACAGCAGGTAGATCTAAGTCTAAGCAGGACTTCTCAAAACGTCTGTTTGGCTTCCCATGTCTTCAAAGTGGTACTCTCGTCTTCCTAGATCACAGGGACAGATTTTCCATGTGCACACACGGAAAGGCTCTACGAGACGTTAATAGACGCCTTCAGCACGTGCCAGGCTAAAGCCGCCATTGCTGACCTCTTCTCATCCATGGAGTAAGCACTGCCAAGCCTACACAAAAGTCTGGGCACAAAGGAACCCATGGTGTCAAAAAAGGCAATAAACCTGTCTTGTTATCAAAATGATCAAGCGAAGCAAATGGGAAGAAACTAGTGAAGGTCGGCTATGGCAGCACCTCTGCAGCTCGCTTAAAGGGATACTGAACCGAAATTTGAATTTCGCAAAATAAGGCTAAAGAAGCGATGAACGGGATGCTAATAAATCTAAAACAAATGGCTGTATTTTTGGAAAAGAAGGGCGCGATCAAGTGAGGACTGCGACGTCACGATCCTCCTGGAACAGTTGAGAATCAGGGGAAGCGGCCTTGCTTCTCTCTTCCTCGCATCAGTTTACTTGCTCGAGAGGACGAAGCGAAGAGGAGAGGGAATGAGAATCGCGACGTCACATGTCTCGTCGGCCCTGTTCAATCGCGCACTTCTTTTTCAAAAATACGGCCATCCATTAGAGATATTGCTGTACGAGTGATGTTATTGGGTTTTGCAGCTTCCCGCCTATCGCTCCAGCCCCGTTTTGTGAGCTCCAAATTTCGGTTCAGTATCCCTATAAAGGCACCATGCACGCCGTCGTCCCAAAGAGCAGAGGCACTCCCGACCTGTGGCGGCTGCGGTTCCAGCGGGAATCCCACGTCCGTGCTGTTGAGGCTCTTCAGCACGTCGTAGTTGATCTTGTTGGAGATCTTTTTCTCTTGGAGCATCTTCTCTATCGCCTCTCCAGCCGTGTTCGCCTGCACGTTGGTGCGCTTGCGCCGCTTCCTCTGCGATAGAAAGACGGCAAACATGGCCGATGTGTTTACAAGGCGGCAACGAGCGGCACAGCGGTCGTTTAGAAAACACATCAGATCCAACGACTATAGTTTAAAGGATAATTCTGAAATTTGTCTAAAAAGCATGTTTTTTGCTTTACAGGACATCAAATATGCTACCAGAGTCCTCCGATAACTGTACCGTATGTACTCGCATAATAAACGCACCCCCCACAAAGGGTACCAATATTTTTACTTTTTTTCCCTCGCGTAATGAACGCAGCTTTAATTTTCAGCTCCACAAGTCTTGAATTGCATGCAACTTAGCTAGCCACCGAGCCCACCAAGCCAATTTTTTTTTTGCCGCCAAGCGGTCAGGCGAAGCCAAGCCGCTCTCGTAATGAATGCAAGTGCACAGTTGCGGAAGCGATCAACCGCGATTGGCGCACACACTTAGAGAAGCATGGGTCGAGGAATTGCCCAGTCCCGGACATTCTTCGCCTATCGGATGCATTGATGTCAACAAACACGCCGTCGTCTGTGGTCCGCTTTCGGACAGTGAAATCGTGAAAGAGGTTAGGCCTAAAAACGGTCGCATTGCTCTCCATGCTGATTGAGCTTCGTAGGGCGCTTTTCCTTCGGCAAAAGGCGCACCAAAAGCGCCCTAAAAAGGTTCGCAATTTATTAAGCATGGTTACTGTGGCGCGCTTTTGACCAGCTGTGAATGCACCTCCATCAATGGAGACGTGCCAGAGTACCTTGCCGTGTCACATTGGCACCTAATATGACATTTGCACTAAGTGTGTCAATGCAAAAATTTTACCCCGCATAATGAACACCTCCCCTCCCTAATATGTAAAAATTTTTCGGGGAAAAAAGTGTGTTCATTATGCGAGTAAATACGGTAAGTGACAAAGCTACAGAAATGTGTCACGCCCGTGTCGCGTGTGCCACCACTATGACACAACTGGTTTGGACCGCTCAGTCGAGTCAAGGGGTCATATCCGTGTTGTTCGTCACCCATATGGATTTAACCTGGCCAGTAACATTACACAAGGTTCAAACAACAATTATACTTCGAAGTTCAATAGGGCATCTCCAAAAAGAAATCTCTCGCTTCTCTAGAATTTTTTTTGTCAAGTGCGTTTCCTAAATTAACCTCCTTCCTGCTGGCCACCCAGTACCTGCTAGAAGACGAGGTCTGCACCTTTCCCCCAGGCATCATCAAAAGTGGATCAGCACCACCGAACGTGTCAGCATCGCCACCAGTGCGTCTTGACGCGTCTCGCAACAAGTGTGACGCAAGCACGAGGCAACGCCAAGAAGAATGCATCCACTTTGCGGCGTCTCTCATCGAGTTTCAGCGTGTTTGCCTCTTGGGACAGATCGAAGATCCCCTAAAGACGACGTGGTGCGCAGGCACCATCTTCCAATTGGTATTGCTACACCCCTGCCAAAACAGAGATGACACTGACCTTCTTGGGTTCTGGCTTGTTGGCATTTTCTTCCATTTCCTGAGCTCTCCTGGCCTCCTTCTCTACAGAAAAAAAAAACACACAAAAAACAAGGCAGTCAGCAAGACGTCTCGACAAATGGACACCTCGCATCTCACCTTCCTGCTCCTTCAGGTACTCGGCGTGGTGCATCGTCCAGAACCTGGTCTTGAGCTTCACCTCGGCATCTGTCATAATGTACTGACGAGACAAAAAAAGAAGGGACGAAGGCGAGCAATGAATCTATACCGAGATTTGTCGTCAAAGCCGACCTCCAACCTCCCCTTTCAGCCGTGCAGATCTCAGTTTACCCTCTCTCAAAATACAAAGAGTAGTGAACAAACTTGTTCCTCGTCCGTTCCTCTTCGTAATAGACACTTCTTTAAAAATGAGCACCATCTAGTAGCCGCTGCGGCGGTTATTCCGGGTCTTCATATTTCAGGCATGCGCTTTGACCACGTATTGGGTACAAAAGGTGACGTACATGTGAACAGTGGGCGACACGCGACATGGCAATGCCGCTTGTGCCGGATTGGCTGCTCCTAGAAGAGGACACTGTGTCGCCACAGATACCAACGCCCGGCAACGTTGCGCGTGCATCACTGAGGCGCATTTTAACCTACCCCTCCTCCCCCACCCCGTTCACGCCACTTCGTGGCAACGTTGCACGTGTATCACTGCGGCGGCTCAAATTTCGTGGGTGTAGGTTTCTGAAGAAAAAAGGCAAGAAAAGAAAAACTCGTTATTTTCTGTGCACAAGAGGAAAACGGAAGCGAACCGTCGGGTTGACACTGCTCCATGCATGTGGCACCACAGTTTCTTTGAGATGAACACCCAAAAGCAGATATAGCTGATAAGAGCGCTTGTGGGACAATATCCGAGTAGCAGCAACAACCAGACCGTTCGTTTTCTTTTTCAGCCGTTGCAGAGAAATATTAAAGTTTTCTTTTCTTGCTTTTTTTTTTCTTTTTTAACAGTTACACTCACGAAATTTGAGTATGATAAGTTCACCGCATAAAGACATCTTCACCGCATAAAGACATCTGTGTGAAAAGTATCATGCACTTTGTTTATTCACTTATTTCTGTCGTTCTTTTTACACCAGAATAGCGCTTGGAAAGGCCCTGTGGATGGGGTTTTGTAAAAAGCCTATTAATTCACAAAATATCTATACACGTTTGCAAGTCCGGCTTCAGGGCGCTGCCATCTTGCTCGCTGGGGTGCGCTTGGACGCGTAATAATCCGATTACGAAGCCTTTCTAAGGCGTCGCAATCGGATTATGGCTGCGTCCAAGCGCACCCCACAGGACAAGATGGCGGCGCCTTAAGACCGGAGTTGCAAACGTGTGTAAGAAGACGCAAGTAGGTAATGCTTACCGAGTCCAGTTCGTCGTCGTCCAAACCATCCAGGTCTAGCTCACCCGTTTCTTCCGTGTCCTCTGCGAGCGAAAGGCACGATTTTTTAACGCTACAATTATTAAGGAACCAATTCATGCGGTCCCTCAAAAGAATCAGTGATCCATTTCCATTTGACTCAGGAGTACACAAAAGCCTGTGTAGGACAAAAACCTGCGTAGGCTTTTGTGTACTCGAGAGTTTTGTGTTGATGTTCGGCGGGCAAGCCCCGTTGAGTGCGCTTCTTATTGAGCACCGCTGAATTGCAGAGAAGCAACACTTGCGGAAGCGAGCTTTATGGGTATTGCTTCTCCACAGTGCGCCGGTCACCGGTAAGAAGCGTGCCGAATCGGGCTAGCTCGCCGCACATCAACACTCAGAAAAATATAAATATTGCAGTTTATTAGGACGAAAGCCTTATATGTCTTATCGTTTAGTCGACCTTCAAAGTCCTTGAGCGAAAACACGTCGAAGACACGAAAGGTACCATTGAAACGGCGCCAAAAGTGTGTCATCAGAGAGAACGCTGTTATAGAAGAACTTCTGGACGTTATGGTGTTTAAATCGATAGCAACTTTATGTACACTATTTACAGTCAGAAAAGGGACATCGAAGCTAGGCAGAAACGGTTGTAGCCGGCTCGTTCCCCCGCTGCTCGTGCTCATCTGGTCGTGCTCGAGCCTTGGCTCGTTCAGTCCGCTGTTTTGTCGTCTTCTAGACCGCCGTGGAAGTTTTTACACACTGCCCCCGAAATGAACTTTGTTCATTTTACTCTTACTTGGTAGAAACTTCTAAAGGAAAAAGCAGTTGAATGGGTCTTTTTACAAATACTCTGCCGGGTAATCTGATGGTACCAGATCGTATTTTTCCGTCTCTTCCGATAGAAACGTCTTCAACCGTTCCCATCTGCCATCGCTGTCTCGGTAGTAAGTTGTCTTTGATTAGGACAAGGTCTCCGACTTTTATGTTGTGCGTCTTCGAGGTGATGATTCTTTGCATATTTCTAGTTTCCAGTAAGTATTCTGTTGACCACCTTTTCCAGAATCTGTCCAGGACCTCTTCGCGGCGTTTCCACATTTGAAGAAGTTGATCTGCAGAAGTGTGGGTAACCTCTGTAAGCCCAAGTGTGGGAAAAGATGTCGGTCGTTTTCCCGTGAGGAAATTGGCTGGCGACAATGCCTCTGGTTCTCCTATGTCGTTGTAGACGTAGGTGAAGGGTCGTGAATTTATAACAGCCTCTACTTCTGTCAGTGCTGTGTAGAGTTCATCGGAGGTTAGACTCCTGCAGCCAAGGGCTTTTTTCAGCGACAGCTTGACCGAGCGGACGAGTCGTTCGTAAAACCCTCCCCACCATGGAGCCCGTTCGACGATGAATTTCCAGTGAATCTTGAAGGAACTCACTTGATTCGTGACTTCTTCGTCTCTAATAATGTTCCACAGTTTGTGCAGTTCCTTCTTACTTCTTTTGAATGTTAAGGCATTGTCCGTATAAATTATTTGTGGGATGCCTCTCCTTGATATAAATCGTCGAAAGGCGTGTAGGAAGGATGTTGCGGTCATGTCTTCTACGAGTTCCAGGTGTACTGCTCTGGTCACGGCGCAAGTGAATAAGGTTATATAAGCTTTCTGTGAGTTTGGCTTGCTTTTGACGAAGAGGGGGCTGCGGAGTCAATGCCAGTCACCTCAAATGGATCGGCCTTTGTTACGCGATCGAGAGGTAACGGTGCGGTGACTTCAGAAGCTGGTCTTGAATTGTAACGTTGGCAGATAACGCATTCCTTGATCACCCGTCCTACCAACTGTCAACCAGAGATAATCCAGTAGCGTTCTCTCAGTTGTACAAGAGTATCGTGCACTCCGGCGTGGAGGAGTCTTTGGTGTTCTTGAAGCACGATAAGCCGGCAGTATCGGTGTTCTTTTGGTAGAACAATTGGATGTCGCTCGCTATAGGATGCGTTGCTGTGTTGTAGTCGACCAGTAGCGCGTAGCAGGCCCTCCTGATCGACGAACAAAGGCAGGTCCTTCAGTTTTGATTCCATAGGTAGTTTTTGAGCTCGCTGCGTGCACTTAATTTCTTGTTGGAATGATGCCCGTTGTACTCTTCGAATCCAATACAGCTCTGCTTCGTGAATTTCATCCGTAGTCAGCGGTCCTTTTTGGTCACTCTTGTGTCTCAGCTTGTGAATGAACCTGAGGATCCAGGCTGTAGTTCGGTGAAGTCGCTGAATTGAACTGTAGTGGTTTTCATCTAGTATGGCCGGTTCAATTGGTGTTACAGTTTGCAAGACGTTCGCAGCTTTTTTCTCTTCCAACTCACAAGGGAATTCTTCCTTTGGTATCGTCCTCGGGGGCCACGTTGCTTCATTCATTGTAATCCAGGTCGGTCCTTTCCACCATAACTGATTGGTAATTAGTTGCTCGGCAGATATTCCCCGTGTGATGAGATCCGCTGGATTGCCCTTTCCAGGACAGTGTCTCCAGTTTTGGTTTGTTATAGCTTGGATCTCGCGCACTCGATTCTGAACAAACTGCTTCCATCTGTTGGCGCCTCCAAGGATCCAGCACACCGCAATCATGGAATCCGTCCAAAAATGTGTCTCCTTCAATTTCTCTTGAAAGTGAGTTCTGATGTGATCATAGATTCTCGCAGCCACGAGGCAAGCCAAGAGCTCTAGTCTTGCCAAGGTTACCCTTTTCAGTGGAGCCACTCGTGATTTGCAGAACATAAAGGTTGAACATGTTTCACCTGATATGCCCGTTGTGCACAGGTATGCTACAGCACCATACGCCACAGTGCTGGCATCCGCAAAAATGTGTAGTACCGTTCCTTGTGCTGTTTCAGTCATTTGATTTCTGTAGAACCGTGGTACAGCCACTTGACCCAGAAGGGGAAGTCCTTCACACCATCGATTCCACTCTTCCAGTATATCGTCGGTCAACGGGCTGTCCCAATCGATGTTCATACGCCAGAGTCGTTGGAAACAAAGTTTTGCAAGTATAGTGAAGGGTACCAGCATCCCAAGCGGGTCGTAAATTCTTGCCGTTGTCTGTAATACGGCTCGCTTGGTGTCTGTTCGGTTTTGGGAAAAGTTGACGACGTTGTCCGACGTAAATGACAATACGTCGGTGCTTGGTGTCCACGTGAGTCCAAGTACTTTTACGATACCTGGCAACTCTCCTAGCGATACCTGTTGACCCTGGTCTTCGTTGATTTTCTTTAAAACTTCTGGAGAGTTGGACGACCATTTGTGTAGTTTCATGGAGGCGAGGTTAAAAATTTCATTCGTCTCGGAGTAGATCTGTAGAGCTTGTTCTTCGTTGTCCGCACCCGTTAATATGTCATCAACGTAGATCGATTTCAGAAGTTTCTCAGTAGTTTCAGGGTACTGTGGGTTGATGAGTCTCAGGTGATGTTGGACTGTTGCTGCTACGAGAAAGGGACTCGACGTCGTGCCAAACGGGACTCTCGTCATTCTCCAGATTTCGATTTTTGGAAGTGGATGGTCTGCCTCTGGCTTGCTTTCAAACCACAGGAAACGCAAGGCATCTCTGTCCTTGCAGTTGATAGAAATCTTTAGGAATGCCTTCTCGATATCCGCGACGAGAGAAATTTTATGTGTCCTGAAGTTCAGAAGTAGCCCCACTAAGTCAGCATTCAGATTTGGGCCGCTCTCTAGGTTTTCATTTAAGGACTTTGATCGATGGCCGTGCGACGAAGCATCAAAAACTACGCGGAGCTTGGTTGTTCGACTTTCCTTGACTGCTGCTTGATGTGGCATGTAGTAGGTGACACCGTCACTGTCTTCGTTTTCTACTTTCTCCGCCATACTCTCTTTTCCATATTTTCTTATGGCTGAGTCATACGCAGACAGGATCTTTTCATTACGTCTGAGCCTTCTGGTGAGCTGCATCAGTCGTTTTTCAACACCTTCCTTATTGTTTTGTAGGTGTACCAAAGGCTTCCAAGGAAGGGATACCTCGTAACGCTCTCCGTTGCTCGTTATCGTTTCTCCGAAGGACGTTAGTACAGAGTTGTTCGAACTATCGCTTTCGTCTTGCTTGACTCCTATAGCCTCCAGATCCCAGAATTTTCGTACAATGTTTTCGGTGTTCCGCGTTACCGCTGACGTTCTGAGTGCGACTGTTTGGGAGTGTTGTAACACTGTGGAGCTTAGGCTCATGGGACCGTGCACAGTCCATCCGAGCGACGTCTCGATGGCCTTGATATTGCCGTTGAGTTTCGTGACTTGTCCAGTTACAAAATCCCAATAATGTTCAGCGCCGATTAAAATGTCAATATGGTTGGAATTGTCGTCGTTAGCGATAACCGCGATCGCATAATTCAGCTGACGTAGCTCCTGTATGACGTTGTTATCCGGTTGTGGCAGTCGTTGATCGCAAATTATGCTGGTTTCAAGAGCCTCAAGGTGGTATGTCCATCGTGTTTGCTTTGCAGAGTAATGAAGACCCTTCGAAAGTTCTTCTCCTGGTTATGTCCACCGAAATACCCTACTGCAAGTCGTTCACTTCCCACAACCTTGCAGCCCAGTCTCCGAGATAAGTCTTCGGTTATAAAGGATCTCTGGCTACCGCCGTCAAACAATACTCTAGCCATCGCTTTGCTTTTGGTTCCAGAAGCCCACGCTTCGGCCGTTTGTAACAGCACTATCCTTTGGTCCGAAATCTCAGTCGTTGATTTTAGCTGTAACGGAGCTGTGCCAGCGACATTCTTTTGTCCGCCGTTCTTAAATTTGGGGTCGCACATCGTGGAAGCGTGTCGGCCTCGGCAGTGCCTACATGTGATTCTTCTTCGGCAGTTCTTAGACATGTGGTTCACAAGGGTGCAGTGGAAACATCTGCCGTGTTTCTGTAGCATCGTCTTCTTTTGTTCCAGTGAAACTGTCGAGGTGCACTCTTCCGTCTTGTGTTCTTTAGATTTGCAAATGAAGCACGGTGTTCTGAGATCCGTTTGTTGAAGTAGTGCAGACGATGATGGTTTAAAATTGTTCTGCTTATCAGGATACCTTTTACCTCCTGCCAGTGAATTCGTCTTTTTTGTCAGAGGGTGCTCTAATCTCGCAGGAGTATACGTTTGTTCTCGACTTTCGATTTCTACCTTCAAGGCTTGGAGTAACGATGTTAGCGCTGCAGGCTGTTCTCTAGGAACTCGCGCTCGCGCTCCTTCCTCATTTTGTTCTTGGGCGTTCCCTTCCTGTCGAATCGCCTCTCTGTTATAGTGAAGCATTATCTCTGAAGGAAGGAGTCTCACGAGGAGATGATGTAGCATCGAAGAGCAAGATTCTTCACTCACCCCGAGAAACTTGAGTCCACGTACATGGGCCTGCACATTATCGTAAAGACCTCGAAGTCCACGTACGTCTTGTGCAGAAGGTACCGGGTTAAGGTCAAGTAGCTTTTCCATATGATCTTGTATGAGCCGTTTCTCGTTACTGAATCGGCTAATAAGGATGTCTACTGCATCCTTGTAGCAGATGGACGTTGATGGGAGTCCGACGATGGCTGCAGCGGCTTCTCCCGTTAGCGAAGTTCTCAAGTAATTGAACTTGTCGCAAGCTGTTAGTGCCTCGTTGTGATGAACCGCTTGCTGAAATTGCTCCCAAAACGGTTGCCATTGTCGTTGTTGGCCGTTAAACTTGAGAAGCTCCAGTTTGGGAAGCTTTACCTTTAAGGTACTCGTCGGTTCTCCAATTCTTGCACTGTTTCCAGGGCTTGTTGTTTCGGTTGGGGTTCGTTGTTGTAGAGTTCGGATTGAGTAGTCCAACTGAGCCAGGTAGGTGACGGCGCGGTCGTTGTACTCGAATGCCCGGGTGTATTCTTGTTCCGCGTCGTCCCCCAGGAAAGGCTCGATGGCGACATCTGTTTCGGTCATTTGGGTATGCAGACTACCCAATCGTTGCCTGAGGATTTCGATGTCCCGTTCGATGATCGGATCACGTTGAAGAGCGGCGTCGATGTCTGGTATCAGCCTTGTCAGTTGGCTTCGTAGGGCCTTCCGTTTCAGTTTCAGACGATTCATGAGTAGTCGTCAGCCGTGGCTTGAATGGAACGTATCAGTAGTCCTGCGTTAGTTGTTGAAGATTCGGTAGTTCCCTCGTCCAGGTTCCTCTCGTTGCGTCTCGTTCCTGGGTTTCGGCACCATATAGAAGAACTTCTGGACGTTATGGTGTTTAAATCGATAGCAACTTTATGTACACTATTTACAGTCAGAAAAGGGACATCGAAGCTAGGCAGAAACGGTTGTAGCCGGCTCGTTCCCCCGCTGCTCGTGCTCATCTGGTCGTGCTCGAGCCTTGGCTCGTTCAGTCCGCTGTTTTGTCGTCTTCTAGACCGCCGTGGAAGTTTTTACACAGCTGTCTTCGGAGGTTTGCTATCATGTTTACATCGGCGCTTGGGCTTTTGCCCTCAAGGTGTCTTAGGGATAACATAAAAGACACTGAATTTTTCGACGTCAATACCAAATTGCATATTATTCTAAACTACTATTCGCAAATTGGAATATTCACACCAATCCTAGCAACTAAACTTTTTATTTTGTGCTTCTAAAACGAATCTGCCAACAACTCCCCTAGAAGTGTGAAGTTTGCGGGAACTTATTTTTCTTGTCTGTTACGTTATGTTTCTAAAGATCAGTCTCGGCCCAACTCTAGAAGCAGCCCTAGAAGCGATTCAAGAAGCTGCCTAGAGCCACTGTATATAATAGCTTTAGATGCCATCAACACAATGCAAAAAGACTGATGGACAACACTAAAAGAGCCAATAGTGATATCTGTTCTGGGCCTGGAGGCTACCATGGTAACAGAGGTGTTAGTGGCACCTGGCGGCTTCCTTATTAGTATGTCCCATTTAATCTCTCCATCCGTTCAGTAAACGTAAAAAAAAAAAGACGGTAAAAGTTAGTAAAAGTCACGCAAAAGCCCGGTCGGCATACCGGTACGGACGTATATGAACTTATGAGTGCCTCACTCAACGTATATTCAACGCACGCAGAGACGCACACTGACAATTTGAACTTTGCACTACTTGAGAAGCGAAAGAAGCAGACGACAGGTACACAGGCGGCATTCTGAAACATCCGAGCGCTACTTCCGCAATTGTCGGCCTTCTTCGACTTAATCCATTGCTATGGAAATTGACCCAGCTCGGCCTGTTGCTAGGGTACCGCGCTAGGCCAATCGTGGCGAGAGGCGGCACGAGGAAAAGAGTAGTGCGACTCTGGCAGCTAAAGGTGCCATGTACAGTGGCTCTGGGTCCGCCGACAGACACGCCTGCAACTCACCGATGCAGTCCCGCACCCTCATGCACTCCTCGATGCTCTCCTTGAGCCCCAGAGTGGCCGCGGTGGGACGCAACGATGTCACAAGATTCCGGTTGCGCTCCGTCAGAGGCGCTTCCGCCTCCGTCGCCGCGTCGTCCGAAGAAGCATCCTCGTCGTTATCCCGAGGCTCGGACGTCACCCGTAACGGAGGCGGCGCCGCAGAGGTAGCGCCGTTGTCGGAGCCCCTGCTGCTTTGAGTATCGTCCAGGCAGTCGTTGATGGTCGCCATTGTGTTCTCGATGATGAACCCGTGCGAGATCTCCATCTCCTCTTCCTGCGTCAGTGTGTCCTCTGGAAGGAAGCGTCGTCAATATTATAATCGAAATCTAAATCAGTGTGGTCTTTGGTTATTGTTGGACACTAAAAGAAAACTTGCCTGGTTAAAACTCTTTTACTCCATATATAGTAGAAAATTAAAAATCGATCCGGAACTACAAGGTGTCTGAAATACTGAGGCTCGCTCTAAAATGGACCGTGAAAATCGGCACCTGCACGTAGCAATCTAAACTTTTTGTCAAAGGTGGATTTCACAGGTGGATTTTACTTCGTAAAAATACAAAGTGTAGCCCCTTCCTGTAAAAAAAAAAAAAACAGGGCTAAAACCTTGCTAGGGTCAATGGAAGACGGCGACGCAAACAACCGAGTCGAGCGGCACGGCGCGTTTGGCCCTTATAGAGACCGTTTGGTCCTCCTTATAGAGACTGTTCGCGACAACCATGGTCTGTTAAAATGAACATAATCTCTTTGTAATGTACCTTTGGTTTAAAAATATATGTGGACAATGAGAGCAAACCTTGAAGTAACAAAATTAAAAGAAAATACGGTTGCATAACGACTGCACTCTTGCTGCCGACGGATTTCGTCTGCGTGTCGTCGGCTTTCTTTCGATGGGTGGCTACATCTTCCGACACTGCTCCCAACACCATTTATTATTACATGCGCCAAATGCGCCCCCTGTCACTCGACTCAGTCGTCTGCATCACCGTCTTCCATTGACCCTAGCTAGATTTTTGGTTCTACTTTTTTACAGAAAGGGAGCTACGCATTGTAATTTTACAAGGTAAAACCCACCTGTGAAATACACCTTTGACAAAAAGTTTATATTGCTACGTGCAGGCGCCGATTTTTACAGCCCACCTTAGATTCAGCCTCAACATTTCAGACACCCTATATATCTAAAAAAAAAGTGCATGAGCAATCACACAAACTAAATCACAATAAAAAATTGCGAAGCCCTAGAACAGTTGGAGAGATATTTTCAAAAATTAATTGTTTGTTAAAGTAACTAAAGAGTGCAATGGGCTTCCAAAAGACGTTAATTCCTCCAATGTTTGTCATTTTAATCTTTATTGAAACATCTGTTTTCCCAACGAAAAATACAAAAAAAACATGTCATTAACAGTTTGAAACCGATGCTGCTTTTTAAAATATTCGAGAGAAGGCTGACAGCATTGATAAATAAATAAATTAAATTAAAAAAAAACAGTGATGGCGCAGGCAAGCTGGTGTAATACACCGTTTTTTTTAAACCACCCGAGACTGGGTGGAGAACAAGAAGAATCCAAAGTGGAAGACAAAGGGAGAGAATGACAGAGGGTACCATTTTAACTTCTGCTGACTATTCTGTGGCATCTTTTATATATAAATATATAGATGTCACCAAGTAAACAAGTCAGCCAAGTTTTGAGTCACTGCCTTCTGTCATTCTGTTCCTTCCTCTACCACGCTGCATTCTTCTCAGATGGCTTAATAAAATTACAATTATCAATATTGACACGTAAACCTCATCGACCATGACATGAAAGTAACTCTGTGAAATCGATGCGTAGAAAAATATTAAACGGAAATGCTACGTCTCTAACTGTGCATGTAAGCATGGTGGTACTGTAGCATACAATCATCAGTGTGAGCCTACCCGTCCCCAATGAAGCGAGTTTGAGCACCTCACATTTTCGTTGCATGCCCCAAATAACTTCGCCGTTTTTCTCGCGCACACGAAAGCATAGAAAAAAAAAGAGAAAACTTTACATCAACTGCAGGTGTGGCTGTCATAGGTATTCTCTTTACAGAATGGACCTTTTCCACATACCGACGGCATCAGGCGGTGGCTGCACGAACTAAAAATCGAGGAAGTGACCTACCTGCACTACCAATCGATAATGGGAGCTACGCTACCAGTTTCTTCGCTCTCTGAGCAGCGGCGGCGCCTGCCCAACGCGACTTTAAAGAGGGGCATCCGTGGCGTCCACCCAAACGTCGTGTTCTCCTTTCCGTCGACGTTCTTTTTTTGTGTAACACAATTATATATATGCTGCAGTTACAGGTTCTACTCGCTGATATACAGCCTTCTTCCGAATTTCCTCGATTGTTCGCTCCCACTTCAGCCGCTTGGCATCGGGTGCTCGCGCGTGCGCAGAACGCTTCTCGGAAAAGGTCCATTGTGGGACAAGAAATATATGTACGGATTACAGTCCAGTCAAGCCCAGTTATAACAAAGTCAACAGGAATCGGATAAATGTAATTAAGGACTTGCAAATAAAATCCTGATGTTTTTTTCTCGCAGCTCGAAGTAGCCGCAAAATATGTACTGTCCTATTTTTGTAAGTTTTTGGCACAGAAGCTGCAACAAAGCTGTATTTCTCTTCATTAAGGTCACTGCAGTAACACACTGCAATGCGACCGCCTACAAATCTTTTTGTCGACATGGTCACTATGGCAACCGATGTCCATGCGATGAGTTACACTGGAGCGCAAGAAGTTTAACTCGCTCACATGCAAATGTCCGGACTAGCCTTCACAATAGCCGAAACACGCGCATGTTAATGCCTCTGGAAGTGCACTTTTCCCTCTAATCATTCTCGCTGCAGAAAAGCGGAATGACGGGGAGCAGCAGACGTCAAGAGGCTGAAATGGAGAAACCGAAAACTAAGAGGTGGTACGAAAACGAGGAGGTGGTAAACAGATCTGTTGAAGAAGCGTTCCGGTACAGCGTCCAGAATGCACCTCGAGAGGTGTGTTTAGCCTCTTAACCCAAAGTGGGCCGAAGTGGCAAAAGGTTACACCGCAAGAGATTGTAAGCCACGCTGTCAGACGTCGCAATCCTGGCACTTGGTCGTAAAAGTTTTGGCAAAAAACGTGAGCATATGCGAGGGTCGCTCTCATCGCAGCATCCTAACTCCCGGCTGCCGAAATTTCTGCTGAGTATCAAGCTGCAGAACGAACTTCGGCAGAACAGGCGTCTGCTGCGCACAACTCCACTGCCGTACCCCTACCATAATCGTGGCGGGGCGTGACACTTCCGCGACGTCATTGTCTGGAACTCAAGGGACCACAAATAGACCAATTAAAGACACATTCCACAGAGCTGCCAGGACTGCAGGCAGGCAACAGCACCGCACGAGTGTGACTCGGTGGTGCAGAAATCGAGGGACCAGATCCCAGGACGCGGCAAACGCGCCGGTCGGATACAAGTTCGGGGGCAACACGGCCGGGCAACGAGTGCTGCCAGAGAGTGCATTCGCGTCGAGCGTCGTCGTCGCGACGCACTCACCCTTTGCGAAGCGTGCGAAGCGGCCGCGCACCTTGCGGCGGCGGTCCTCCAGCTCGCCCTCGATCTTCTTCTGGAGCTCCGAGACCTCCTGGGTGGCCCGGTCCACCTTCCCGGGATCGTCCAGGGCCCCCTTCTGCTTGCGGCGGGCTGCCTTGAAGCAAGGCGGGTCCTGCTCCTCTTCGAGATCAATCGTCATGAACTCCTCCAATGTCAGCCGGCTCGACGGAGTGTCCCCAAACTCTGTCAGCCTGCAGAAACGACGTTTGTTTCGGTGGAATGATGAAACCAAGCTGTAAAAACAGCGGGAAACTCGCGCAATAAGACGCCCAACGAGACACCGCGGTAACCGACAGACTGAAACAGACAGGGCACGTCCTTCTGACGCCCGACCTCCAGCACGCGCTCTGTACCTTTCGCCGTGCCTTGGCTGCACTGGTACGGTGCACGGGTGGGAAGCTAACGCTGGAGCCAACTGAAGGACCTCCTTGCCGTTCTCACGCTGTCAGTAACTGTAGAGCAGGGGTGGCCAGGCTGACCCGTCCTTAGAGCCGCAAACAAAACCATTAAACTTCCAAGACCCACGGGGCGGGGTGGGGAAGGGGGGGTATGCAAGGCAAATGTATGTTTAGAGCAATAAAAACTCAAACTACTTTCAATCTATCAATCAAAAGCAGTTCAACTGTTCATAAACAGTTCAACTTTCATGTAAAAACTCGAACTACTTTCAATCTTTCAATCAAAAGCAGTTCAACTGTACATAAGGAAGTAGTAGCACAGGACTACCATACCGCAGCCTGTCTTTCGATTTAAAACGGGTTCCATTTCTCTTTTTGGGGAAGTGCTCATGTGACTGGGAGGGAGGCGCAGTAGTGTTTTTTTTGTGGGGGGGGCAGGGGGGGGGGGGGTAGAGAGGAAGCCGCGAGCCGCGCCTTAGCACGCAAAGACCTGCATGCGGCTCGCGAGCCGCAGCTTGGCCACCCCTGCTGTAGAGGCTCACAAGCCTCGTGGGTCCTCCGTTCATTACACTCATTCAAAAACAGACACTCGTTAAGCAACAAACCCACCTTCAACCACTTGTTGAAATGACCCATGTATAAAAGAAAACAATAAAAAAACAAATATTCATATAAAAACAAACTGATTCACAAATACTCATTCCAGAAACAAATTCCCGTTAATAAAAGAGACCCTTTCGAAGGAACAGACGCTCGATTAAAGGGAAACAAAGGCTCGCTCCAAGCATCGCTCGGCCAATGGCCGAGAGAGGGCAAAGGGAAAGGGGCGTGACCTCTTGCGGATGGTGGTCTCGCAGACCTTGACGACGCGCACCAGGTCCTTGATGGTGCGGCTGAAGTCGTGCAGCCGGGAGGCCACCAGCAGGGCGGCCCCGCAGAGCCCCGAGGGCCGCCGCCCCGTGTGCATCCAGTCCCGCTTCATGCGCTGCACCAGCCGCAGGGCCGTCATCGACACCTCGTGCGTCTTGTCCGCAAACTCCAGATGGTGTGCAAAGCGCACAATGTACAGGCACGGGTCTAAGGGGAACAGACGGCAGAAAGGCCACCTCAAGGGCTGCCCAGACAGGACGCGGCAGATCCCACGCAAGAGGAAACAAAAGCATGCACTTCCTGAAAAGTCAGAAGCGTCGAATCTCATCAAGAGGTGGGGGGGGGGGGGGGGGGGGCCAGAGCCATTTTAGAGCGCAGGTGTGAAGCGGCGGTTTCACAAAATGCTCTTTCACTCCAGTAAGCCACATTCTGCCAAGTAGATGAACAGCGTCTGCTACGCTCTCCATGAGTGAGCATGACGGCTAGGTATTAGCGTCATTTCTGCTGTTGGTGATATGCTCAAGTATGGGGAGTCGCTCTGTCAATGACAGAAGTTGGTAATATGGTAAGGGGCGTATTTTTGACGTGTAAACCCATGCTTATTCTGCATTTTCTCCCTGAGGAGTTGCCCCGGTGGCACGTAGAGGGGCCACTTTGGCCGCCAACAGGTCAACGGCTAGACTGCAGTTTCATCTTACGTCCGAATAAAGACCAGCATAAATAGAAATCGAGTACCAGTCAATACTTTTTTTATGTTCCCAACTACTCTGGCTGCCACAGTCAATCCCAGCGCGAGAGAGCTCGAGCAAGCTGTAAATTCGAATAGAAAGACAGCGAAAGTTCATCAACGTGGCATCAGGCAAGATTTCGAGCTAGATCACGTGCAACAGCCCCAATTCTCCTCATAGCTATGGTGCCTTGAGAGTGTCTCCGACTGGTGTGTTCACCTTGTCCAAAAAAGTGGTCCCTCACTTTCCGCCTGGTGACGTCACAGAAGGATCCTGGTGGCGTCCCAACAGCTGTGGCAGTACACCGAAGCTTCGGTAGCCAGACGTGACGACACCGACACTTGCGTTCGGTTGTGCTGCTCGCAGCTTCTTGTTAGCATTTCTACGACCAACTGCCAGGATCTCAACATAACAGCATGACATTTTGGCTTCTGCGACGTCATTCGTTGCCACTTCGGGACCACTTTTGATGTATGGGGGGATAGGACGCTAAACACACCAGTCGAAGACGCACTCTAGGCACCATATAGCTGATAGTGTGGTGGGAACATTGCACTTGCCAGACCAATCAACCGCCTCATTTTCATCACTTGACACCACTCTCTGACTGTTGGGTATGGGAGGGGGATCGAAGGCCGAGTGGGTTAGTGCACACCAGCTCGAAGCACGTGGAGTGAAAGCTCGCGCTGCAAAACCTAGAGATCCTGGGCTCAATCCCCACCCCTGCCCGTTTCGATCTGGATGAGCATCGTACCGGCGTGCGGCCGTGTATCAATACTGCGTGATGCACGTTAAAGACCCCAGGCTAGCGGCTGCACTGCACTGGCTAAATTGCTCATCTACAGCTGAGAAACAAGTTGCCAGTTGAGGCAGGCTAACTTCAGGCTGTTTAAACATACACACAAACACAATTTTTTTTTTTTTTTTATGGGTGAGAGCGTGATTATCTGGCGAAAGATTGGTGGTTCAACAGAGGGGCCTGAACTATTTTAAAGGGGGTGTACCAACCCCCACCCCTCCTCCTACGCCACTGCCAATTGGTGGCGTGCGTAAACCACAGAAGGCGCTTCTCTAGCTATCATCATCGATTGTGACGTCGGTGGGGCAGACTGCGCAGATCTTGGATCCCTCGGCTTGTCAGCTCGCGTCGACCCGAGCTGACACGAGCTTGCATCATGTGCTGTTCGGGTAACGTGCGGCAAAGCCTGTTTCACACGTTTGGTTTATTTGGTAAAGCGGTATTCCTACAAGGACATTTTACCAAAGCTTGAAAACGTGGCACTCATAGTTTTGCTAACAAAACATTTTGGCACTGAGGTGTCGAAGCGCTGGGATGGTGGTGTGCTGTTCTCTATCACAGTACAAAAACCTGGATAATGAGAATAGAATATCAAGCGCTTTACCCCCCTTCAGAATTAAAAACAGCGCAAAAAAACGAGGACCAGACAAAGAAGTGACACGGACGTAGTGCTACGTCCATCTCACTTCTTTGTCTGGTCCTCGTTTTTTCGCGCTGTTTTTAATTCCGAAGTATGTACCAACTTGCCCGAGCCTCGACATTAACTTTACCCCCCCCCCCCCCCCCCCCCCCCCCCTACATCTACCATGGCAAATAAGGTGTATTTTTTTTTATTATCACTTGGACAAAATAGAACTCGGAAAGGAATGTATCATCGAAATGAAAATAAGAAAGTGAAACTTTAGAGCCTCTCACCTGTGTACTAACACTTCAGTGAAGCAACTCTGTGTATCTTTTTGGTTCCAAAGTGTTCCGAGTGCTAGTCTCTTACTAGTTCCAAGTTGATCCCTTTTGAATTTTGTAAACCAATAACTCAAAATAACTGGCGGAAAGAACTGGTGGCTTTCCAAGTCGTTTCAACTAAATCCCTGGTTATTCACCCGGTCGACGCGAAACGTGCGAAGCCCCCTCGCGATCGAAGTCAGTTAAATCTCGTAAGTCGCTGACACTTCAGCATCCCCAAAAATATGGCATACACCTGCTATGAATTACTACCGTTTGTATATTTAATTTCGCGAACCACAGAATTGCGCATAATGCGTGATGCGCTACTCGGCAAGCGATTTCAGATCTGTTAGCAATTCTTAGTAAAAATTGGATAGAACAAATGAACAAATTGCCTGAATTTGTCGGGCCATGGCCGACAATTTAAGAAGTTATGAAAATTCCTGCTTTTCTTTCGAGAAGAAGTCGCGATGTTACAGACTTCTCTGGCACATACTCAATACAGTACGAGCCAAGCTTCAGTTGCTGACAAGCAATTGCAAGTCAGCAACTGTCGAGACACACTTAGATAGAAGCGTTGCTATCGGCAAGCTCAATGTAGCTAAAACAAGGGTGTGGTGCTTTGCAACACAGCTGTAAGCACGTGCACAGTTAAGATGACAGCACGTCAATTACTCTGGTGAATGAAAAAACCTTTTTCTACAAAAGCCTCCACAGATCCAAAAACACAAGAATCACAGCTAGAGGCTGTGAAGAGCCCTGATGCACGCCATGCAAGCTTCAATGTGAAGCTCCAGGCTTGTTTTTAAACATTTTAAAGTTTTTTGATACAAAAAGCAACTTCAAGGCACTGTTATTCATTAGAAATATCTAATGAATAACAGTGCCTGTATCTTTAATGAATAAGTTGTTTTTAATCAATATACTGGGGACTAATATAGACCCTCTGTGTTATCACACAGCACATCGTCTGCTAACATCCCACCTGCTTTGTCACAGGAGAGCGCCCACAAGGTGGCTCCACCGAAATATCTTGTTGCCAATTGACCTCTTGCAAAATCAAACCAATCCTAGTGGCGTAGTGTTGTGCAAAGCACAGTTTTGGTTTCATTTTGCCAACCTCACTTCCAGACATCCCGTTGTAACCATACACAGTGCTTGCATTTTCGAATATGCGACTTTCCTCAAATTTATAATACTGTAGGTCAGGGATGGGCAAACAACACGCAAATATGTATCGAAATACAAATACAAAATACTTTGTCAAAAATGTATTTAATTACAAATATAATTACATTTCCAGAAAAGCATTTAAATACAAGATACAAATACAACCAAATGTATTTGGTCTCCTCCAAATACCTTTCCAAATACATTCCTCAAAATTTGCGTCAGCGACTTCAAGGCACCTGCAACGGGTTTCTGGGCGTCTCATTTTAATTTTGCATCGCACACTCGGGAGTTAGTGTGCGAGGCTCTAGTAACGTAATAAAAATATAATCACAAACAAATGTAATCAGCTTGGACGTAATAGGTGAAAAAAGTAAGGAGCTTCAAGTAGCTTTTTTTTTTTGTTGATTACATTTTGGTACAGACCAACAAAGAACCGAGACGACCAAGGCGCACAGCACTAGCTAGAGAATTCTTCATTGTTGCAACTTGCATCAGTTACGAAAATCTGGACGACCCGCGCATTTAGAATGTTCCAGGCAAAAATATGGATGGAAATCAGGCTGGAAAGCTTACAAAGTTGTCACAGGCACTTATTTAGCCAGTCTGCCTGTGAACGTCGATTTCGTCACTATTCTTGCCCTGGACTAGCACCGTCATCACAAAGTCACTATACGCTGTGCTTGATTGAGAGACACTGCATTCGGTGCAGAGCGTAGTTTTCTTACTGCTCTGGACAGACAATAAATTTGAGGGATGTATTTTCGCCCACAAAATTGTATTTAATTACAATTGTATTTGAAATACCCACGTTTTAGTATTTAAATACACAGGTCAAATACATTACCCAATTTGTAATTAAATACAAATGCAAAATACACAAAGTATTTAAAATACTGCCCATCCCTGCTGTAGGTGTTGCCTACCAATACGGATAGAATGCGATAGAATGCTGGGGAATGTTTTTTGGGCCCCCAACATGCCAGAGATGGTGCACAGATAAATATGGGACTTTGATAGCCTATTAAAGAATTGTACTGGGCCAGTCACCCTGTTCCATTGTCTCAATGCCCTAGGCTTCTCAAATGATCTGTGAGGCGGGGGGGGGTTTATGCTGCACTCTGGAGTGGTAACCACACCGCCAGAAAGATGTGGGACGTGGCCCGCCATGCTCCTACTCCTCGCCAAGTCTAGGCAAGTTCTTACAGCCGCTGGAGGTCCCTGTTTCAATGGGGGCTCTAGCAAAGATAAATGGGTGCAATGCAAGCGAGTGCAGACTCTATTTTTATGCAGTGCCAACATGCACTACTTCGTCAATGGGGCGATAGAAACCAAAACCGTGCCAGACCTCTCTATGTCCAAATAGGTACCATAATGCAATGCACGCAGTGTTGCATGCAGGTATTTTTGGAAGTAGTCTTTTACATAATGATAATTTGCAAAAAGGTAGTGTTAAGTATTCAGACACCGGAAAAGTAATTTTCTCGAAACTTGTTTTTTTTTTTTCTTTTGCCCGCAATGTTGCCATTTTAGGACTTGCATTTCCACTTGAAGGGATCACAAAATGAAAGCTGGCAGAGGGAAGCCAGCTGACTGCTGTGCTCTGCAGCAACTATTGGCTGCAGTCATGATCTCTTCCTGTCGTACTACTTCTGGGGTCTTGCATTCAACCTCTAGCAAGCACAACGAAGCAGACTCTTCGTTCGTTGCCCATACTCAAACAATAGTAGAAAAAAAAAAAGTCTGGCTCCGCACGGAATGCTAGCAATTTCCTTGTTCGTAAAATGAATTACAATATATGCAAGTGTTATCAAACAAACAACACGCTAACCATGTATGTGAGGAAGATATACGGTTTGTTTGCGACAGAAATGAGTGGATTTAATTTTTGGTGTCTGTTGAGACACTCAAGCCTTTTACGCTTGATTGCGCGATCGATGTCTGCAGTGGCACCAAGTGCCACGAAGCTCTTTGTGCGACCACACTAATGCTTAGTAGAATGAGTATTTTGAGGAAACTCTTGCATACTTTTGCAGTCAGCAGCTTTATGCTGTTTTCGTGCTGTAAATGACCACTTTTTCACATTTAGGAATTAGAGGAATGGAATGGTGGAGTTAGCCATTCCGGGACAGTGAAAGGGCCCAGCGTCTCCATTCCGAGGAGTTGAAAGGAATGTAACCCTAATTCCCTGAAATGGAATTAGAATGGGGGTGCCCATTCTGCAACACAAGGTCATACAATGTGTCGTAGCAGAATCAATGCAACGTGCTAATGAGTAAACCAGCCCTAACTGCAGACAGTTACAACCCAAAGGACCAAGTACAGAGCACGATTCCTCGTGTAGCCAAGCTTTAATGCCAGCAACGCACGGTACAGAGTCACGAGGGCCACCGTTCGACTCCCTCCATGGCCTACTTCTTGCGGCCTCCCCTCTCTTTTACTTGGAGCACGATGGTGGCGTTCTGCCCCAGGTTGTAGAAGGCCAGGCTGTTGGAGTCCTTGACGAACATGCCCTCGTACTGCAGCTTCTGCTTGCCCGGCGGCATGCCCAGCTCCTCGTGCAGTTTCGCCTTCAGCACCGAGATGGTGTCCGTTAGGGGCAGCGTCAGTGTCAGCGTCTGCCCGTTCAGCTTCCACTCCGCCTTCTCCGCCGCCCCCGGAACCTGCACTCGCACCGTCACTGGGCCACGGTTACGCTGGAGGAACTCTGCCTCTGGGATCAGCGCCTCTTCCGTCTTGCTCTTCTTGCTCGGCGGCTCTTCTTCCGCAGGTGGTGGGCGCTCCGGCGGCAGTGGTGGCATCGAAGCGAACGCCATCTGGGGTGGCCCGCCCTGCGTCGCGACGGCGATCATTCCCGCTGGGTGGCCCATGTGCGGCGCCATCAAAATACCCTGCGGCGCCAGCATGGTGCGCGGTGCCGGCACTGGGGCATGTGCGATGACCGTCCGAAGCGCGGCTGGCGGCAGCATTGGTGGCTGCGCCATCTTCGGTGGCATTGGAGGCTGCGGCGGGCGTGACATGGAGGTCTTCATAGTTCCCGGCGGTGCCGGCGCCGACGATGAGACCGGCGTCGGCGGCAGCGGCGGAGGTGGTGGGTTCGACGGCGGCAGCGGCGGCATTGGGACGGAGCCGTGTGGCTTGGCCGGCCCGATTCGTTCCTTCTCCTCATCCGGCAGCAAGCCCTTGATCTTGTGGATCTGCTGGATCTGCTCTTCAATGGTGATGTTGGCACGCGCAGCCCGCGTCGCCGCCTCCATGCTGGCCGTGTGGCCATCCCAGGTCACCTTCTCCTGGGGCCGGTGGTCCTCCTCGCCAATCTTCTTGCCAATGGCCGTCTCTTCGTCACCGAAGCCGAAGATGTCCGTACGGCGCTCGGCAAACTGCTTAAGGCTGCTTTCAATGGCCGCGCCCGGGGCGAACACCTCGTCCTGCTGCATCTTTTCTTGGAGCGCCCGGTCCCGCTGCTCCACCCAGCGGGGGTCCAGCAGCCCAATCCGCATGTGCTCCTGCATCTTATCCGCGGGGATCTTCTCTCCCGTGATGGGCGAGATGAGGTACTGTTCCGAGGTCGGCCGCTGGACCTTGGTGCCTTTCGGGTTGTAGTCCTTGCGGACCACCACTTGCTCCGGGTTTGGGGGCAGCGGGGGAAGCTGGGGGGGTGCCTCTTTCGGGGGTTGTGGGGGGGGACTCGGGGGGCGGTGCGACGGTGCCTGCTCCTTGGCGCGTGGCGGCGCCTCCTCCTCCTTGTCGCTGGCCTCCTCGTCCGACTCTACCTCCATCTCCACCTCCTCCCCCTCCTCCTCCATCCGCTGCTGCGCCAGCACCCGCGTGCCCACCTCGTCGGGGCACGTCGGTGGCGGGAACAGCCCCTGCTCGTTGGGCTGGTAGTCCACCGTCTCGACGACAACGAAGTCGTGCCAGTCAATCTGGGCGTACTGCACCCTCTCTCGCTCGGCCTCCTCCTCTTCGCGGCGCCGCTGCGCCTCCTGCATCTTAGTCCACTCGACGCGGTAGCGCACCTGGTCCAGGATGACCTTGGGGTCCTCGGCCTCTTTCTTCAACTTTGCCATCAGGTTCTTGTTGGGCACCAGGATCTTGGTGTACTGCTCGAGCAGCTTCATGAAGTAGTTGAACAGGCTGTGCTGCGGCCGCAAAAAGTCGAACTGGTAGTTGCGCTGCTCTCGGTTCATCAGGTTCGTCAGGAACTGGCGGCCGTTGCGGGCCACGAACTGCGCCGTCAGCTTCACGATGTCCAGGTCCAGCGCCGAGATGGACGGCGGGTCGGCGACGAACTCGAACTCGGGCGGCGGCTCTTTGGGCACGATGGGCTGCTCGACTAGCTTGGCGAGCTCCTGCGCCTTGGTCGTCGCGGCCGTCGGCTTGACGGGGGTCGGCGCGACCGCGATCTCCGGCACCACCTTGCCCTCGCGGGCTTCTTTGACGCGGTGCTGGTAGTACGCATTGTACGGGTCTCCCTGGTTGAGGAAGTTGAACTTTGAGTTGTTGATCTCGTTCTGGCGGATCCTCGCCTCGAATTCGGGTCCATTGCGGGCGACGAAGCTGGCGGTCTTGTCGACGATGTTGCGCAGCTCGGGCGGCGGGTAGATGATGCCGATCGTCGGCTTGGTCGGCGTCTGCTCGGGCGGAGGGGCCGGCTCCTTGGGGGCCTCGGGGGCAGCCTCGTCCATGGGGACATCTTCTTTGGGCGGTTCCGCCAGCTGAGGAGGGGGCTCCTCAACGGTCGGACCCATCTTTCGGCTCTATCCACGCACCGAATTTAATCCGCAAACACGAGCAAAAGATGGCGAACACAATCGTCGATGGCGTTTGTCGAAAACAACCGCAAAAAAAGCGTGGGGGCGCGCGCGTCGCCAAGGGGCCGCGGAGGCCAAATTTGTGACGAGACGGCAGCGATACGCTGACGTCACCGATTCATAAGGCAAGAATCCAAACAATGTAGGTTACCCTGTTTATGTACAGCTGTTCCAAACTCTTAAAAGTTCGCAAACCAACCCGTGAACCGCACAATTCCGAAAGAAAAAAAAACATTAGAGCGAGAACTATGCCCCACGACAGCAAAACGACACCGATGACGTCATTTAATTTCCTCCGTTCTCCAACCTCCACACAACGCGAGGAGCCAGCGGTGCACTCTGGGAAGCTTTCAAACACAACAGAAACAGCAGACGAGAAAGCAAAGCACTACACAAAACCAGCTTCAGCGAGGAAGAAAAAAAAAAAAAAAAAAGGAAAAGGGTCTCGTCCTCTTTGGCGTCAAACGTCAGGGTACCATCAACCCATTTTCTTCATTTATGGATTACCGCGGATAACCGAGCCGTTTCGATCAGTCCCGGAGTACGTTAGGATGTCGGCGAAGGCGACGAGACGCCGCGAAGACTCCAACAACAGCATCACCACGGCCAAGCAATGGATTTTTCTCGGTGAGGAACACCGTCGTCGCGCTAACACTCGCCTCCCCCCGGCCGCTGCCCCCGGACACGAAATAAACCGCTCGATCACGCAATCGCCAAACCTTCCGCGACGGGCTCCGTTCCCTTCGCGAACCCCCGACCGAAAAAAAATGACCAACCCTCCCAATGGCGTTCACTAGAGGAAAATTTGAGACGCGACGAGGCGACGCGAACGAAACAAACAAAAAGGAATAATTGGTGACGCTTTCTTATTCATGACGGTGCGAAGGCCACGACGTTTTGAAAGACAATCGCTGCGTCGCTGTGCTGTAGTGTGCGTCTGAACCACCACGGGCTAGACGCCGTTTTCAAGGCCGTGCGTCGTGGGGGGGAGAGGTTGAATAACGAGATCGGTACGCTACAGCTACGCCGCGTCGCTGAACTGTTCCTACAAGGAGTGCTCGCGGGTCCTGCCGATGGGCGACAGGGCGCTTCGAAATGAACTACATCTTTCCCTCCAGGGAGCAGCGGCAAGGTACTGTATGCTAGCTGGCTTCGCCAGTCGAGCGTAATTGCACCGGTGACTGAAATATCGACGTAACCTGCGATCAGCCTAAAAACGGCCGCGTGAACTCTCCTCCGCTCCACTGAGAATGTAAATTTCCCTAGACCTTAGGCGGCTGCGAGATTTACCGAGGCGGAAGTGCGCGCTACCCTGACGAAAAACAAACGTGCGATAATGACGTGATAAGCATTTTTTGGCACTTCGGCTTGCAGATCGAATTAACTGACTGTCGCGGAAGTTTCGGGACGTATCAATAGGACCACTGCTATCAACCTATGGTCCCGAGCTTGGAACTTGGACTATATGACAAATAAGGGCCCCGAAAACAAGCCACTTCCGTTTCGCTCGCCCTTAGAGGGCATTCACCGTGCAATTATCTTTCGACCCACAGCATAAACAAGTAAATATGCGTAATCTCCAACTATGACACGAAGCGGCAACGATCGGCTCGCTTTTTCTGCATTATTGTTGCAGCAGTGTTCGCCAAAGGCGCCCTGTAACACCTATAAACAAGTGGGAAACTACCCGTAAATTGCATTGGGCTAGAGAGGAACATGAAGAGAGAAAATGCACCTCCTACAATCTGCTCAGCTGATCTCTCCCAGCTCCCCGCACAAGTAATGGTGCCGTACAATGCTTCTCTTCCTTCACACCCGAGCCAATCACTTTGGTGAGTCACCGAACGCTTGTGCTTAAACAAACGCCGCATTCACAGTTCAGTCGGCAGAGTTCAGGATTTGTCGGAGTCGACTTGGTTGTAGCGGGTTCTTTCGTGGGTAACCAATATTTACGGCGCTATTTTAATCGATCTCTGTCCCCCGCAGGCCAGCAGACGAGCTCGGCCGGCTCTACCCCGTCCCCCACTAGCCCCACGCCCCCGCAGCAGCAGCAGCAGTCGTCCTCCCCGCCCCCGTACTCGGCGTCCCCGCCCCCCGCCTACCTGCAGTGCCCCAGCCCGCCCCCGCTGCCCTCCCGCCCGTCCCCCCAGGGGGCGGAGCCCCTGCGCCTGGGGCCGGGCCAGACCCGGGACCCCAACTGGCAGGCGACCAAAGGCAGCGTGCGGGAGCGCAACGCGGCCATGTTGCGCAACGAGCTCATGAGCGACGTGCGCTTCCTGGTGGGGCCTAAGGGGGCCGCCCAGAGCGTGCCCGCTCACAAGTATGTGCTGGCCACAAGCAGCTCCGTCTTCTACGCCATGTTCTACGGGGGACTCGCCGCACCCCCGGGCCAGGACATCGAGATCCCGGACGTGGAGCCGGCGGCCTTCCTCGTCCTCTTACGGTGAGGAGGCGCGTCTGCTGCGTCCTCCGCAGACGACGACACTGACAGCTCATTTTTACGGTGGCCGAGCCATTTTGGTTGTGTGCAAGTGAGGTCGCATCATGCACTTTTGCTTGTTTTTGCCAAGAGAAACAAATATGGCAGTGCGAAAAGTAGTTTGCAGAAGATGGCTGCTCAGCAGCAAGGCCACAGAGTGGCCTTGCAGCCGAGCCATGTATTTTTTGTGTTGTCTCGTATCATCCTCCACCCTCCTTTGGACACTTTAAGTAGACAGTGCCGTCCCGTACTGTGGTCGTTTCTTAGTCAAACACCCTCGGTGAAATGTCAGCCTGTCTCGATCCGTGTTTTTCCTAAGACAACTGGACCTCTTTTTTTTATCCTTATATATCATCCCAACATCAAAATTTTTTTCTCTAGATTTATTTGGCCCCCCCCCCCCCCCTTCATTTTCCTTCTTTCATATGTAGTAGTTTTTGCCAATGCAAGAGGCACATTTATGATCAAATAAAGAAAGGAAGGAATTAGAGACAAACTTTGAAGGCTTCGAACACTGATGCCTGCAGCGCTATGTGCAACTCCCACGAATATGACCAGTTTTCACACAGAGCCAAGAGAAAGCGAAGGACGGACATCTTAAAAGGTATCTCGAAGCGTGGTGCCGAAGTAAGAGAGTCAGAGTAGAAGAAACTGTATCACAGAAGTCCACTTATGTGCGTTAGGTCTCGGTTGTCGAGCGTACGGGTTAGACATTGGAAAGCTGCCAAGACAGCCCGACGCTTCCTGCCCCCAGGTACCTGTACTGCGACGACATTGCCCTGGAGGCTGACACGGTGCTGGCCACCCTGTATGCGGCCAAGAAGTACCTGGTACCGCACCTGGCCCGCGCCTGCGTGGCCTACCTGGAGACGAGCCTGACCGCCCGCAACGCCTGCGTGCTGCTCTCCCAGAGCCGCTTGTTCGAGGAGCCCGCTCTGGCGCGCCGCTGCTGGGAGATCATCGACGCCCAGGCCGAGCTGGCCCTCTCCTCCGACGGCTTCCCCGATGTCGACCGCCCCACCCTCGAGGCTGTGCTCTCCCGCGAGTCCCTCAACGCCCGTGAGTCGGCAGTCTTCCGGGCTGCCCTCGCCTGGGCCGCCGCCGAGTGCACCCGGCGCGGCCTCGACCCCTCGCCCGAGAACCGCCGCGAGTGCCTCGGCCCCGCGCTGCACTTGCTCCGCCTGCCTGCCATGTCCCTGCAGGAGTTCGCCGATGGGGCTGCGCAGTCCGGCGTGCTCACGCTCCGCGAGACGGCCGACCTCTTCCTCCACTTTGCGGCGAGCCGCAAGCCCGCGGTGCCGTTCCCCTCGCAGCCGCGTGCGGGACTGCCTGCCCGCTCCTGCCGCCGCTTCCAGTCGTGCGCCTACCGCAGCAACCAGTGGCGCTACCGGGGACGCTGCGACAGCGTCCAGTTCTGCGCCGACCGCCGCGTGTTCCTCGCGGGCTTCGGTCTCTACGGCTCGAGCAGCGGGGCCTGCGAGTACCGCAGCCGCATCGAGCTCAAGAGGGGCGGAAAGGCGCTCGCGCACTGCGACACCCGTTTCCACTCGGATGGGTCCAGCTCCACCTTCCGGGTGTACTTCGAGCACCCCGTGCAGATCGAGGCGGACACCTACTACACCGCCTCGGCCGTGCTCGAGGGCTCCGAGCTCAGCTACTTCGGGCAGGAGGGCATGAGCGAAGTGACCGTCGGCTGCGTCACCTTCCAGTTCCAGAGCTCGTCGGACAGCACCAACGGCACGGGCGTGCAGGGGGGCCAGATACCCGAACTCGTCTTCTACGGATCGGCCGAGTCTGCCGAGCCGGCCTAGTCCGCGTGGGCGGCCCCCGAGGTTGCGCGAAGGGTGGTGGACTTTCTCTCGGGGGTGGCGCGCGCCTGGCTCTGGGCAGTCGCGAGGTCGCGGCGCTCCTCCCCTTCTCCCCCCGCCGTGGGGGAGAGGTCGTGAGGATGCCCTCCGAGCCTACGACCGGACTTTTCTCTCCTCCCGGCAGTGAAGTGCTCGTCGCCCGACGGTCTGGTGTTTCTGGTTGGCGAACGAGTCTGCGTCGCTTCCGCCGTCGACGCAAATGAACTGGTGCGTGCTTTCAAAGTATGGTTGCCGGCTCCAGGCTTTTTGACTCTTCTTAAGGTATGGTTCAACCTTGCATTTTTCGGTTAGAACTCGGGATCGCGCGTGTTACCCGCGACGGTGACTTGGCTCTTTCTGAGAAACGGTTTCTTTTTCCTTCAGCTCCTTCCTATGCAAATGCGGCCTAGATTTTCGCTGCCGCTACGTAATAAACGGAAAGACACGACTCAAAATGTAAACTGTGCGTCTGTCATGAACGTTTGAGAGATTTTTGACTCTGCACCGTACGTTGCAGTCATTTCGTTACCAATATTCGAGAGAAGTGAGAAACAATGTTAGGATCGTTAATTATTTCTGCAAACAATCTTTCTAAAGGCGGACCATGTTAAAAACAATATTAGAAAGGTGACACGGTTAACCGAACCGTGTCGTCAAACATTTAGAGGAAAGAATGCTCGAGGAAACCGTTCTCGGCACGATGCGTCGCATTCATTCTCTTTCTAAACGACCATCTACGTCCATAAGTAAGAAGCAGCTTTCGCCTGCTTTCTTGATATCGACGAGCGTCGAGTTCACTGCAAGCTTGGAGAAACGAGTTAACACAGTCCGTAGAAAAAAAAAGGGAGGGGTGCATTTGCCACGTCTGTTCCGAGGCTGGCCACTTGCCACGATTGGGTGCCGCCTAGATTTGCGCATCAAATCGCGGACGGTTATGGCCCTCCCCCGCAAGACCATTCCCGACATTTCCGGGTGCAGCTAATCTCTCACACCGCTGTGTTCAAGTCGCCGGCTGTGCGCAGAACTTCGCAGCTACACGTTTTGGCTACGCCCGTATGCGCTCCACCGCGAGCGTAATACGAAGCCGTTGCTCACTCTTTCTAATCTTCTAACCGGTAGAAGGCGGAGCGCCTTCTGGCGGCGTCACGTAGCTTCCCCCGTCCTTTCTTTTTCATATTCGAAGCCTGCTTGCTACGGCCCCCCATTCAAAGTGGCAATCACGTGCTTGTCCTTAGCGTAGCACTCTGTCCGCTGTCCCTAGGCTATAAAAGTAAAGAGAACAACTAAGACGAGAGCCACGGAACATTACCAGAATACCGCGGAAGAAAATGCAGCCGGCCAATCGGTCGGCAGAGGGAGCATTGGTGCGTAGCACGCGGCATCGTCCGTCAAATTATTTATGCTAATTTAGGTCGGTGCCGGTTTTGCGAGTCAGCAGAGCCGACAAAACAAGGTACACGATCGCATAGCTTGAATCTGTCACGTGCTAATTTATCTCGAAATGGAGAAAACCTTGTTGCTATTGAGTCGAACACGATTTGCTCTTAATGCCAACTTTGCACGTTTATTGCAGTCTCTGTTTTTAGGGAAAAGCTTGGTCAGCAGTGTACGTAGCACTGCTGGGAAGCCCAGGATTCTCACTGATGTTCCGACTTTTTGTTTCCGCCGCCTAGGCAGTAGTGCACTGTGAATACTCTGTGGCTCTGGTTGAAACACGGCAGGGTGTGCGACAGCTGGATCGACGGCACGGCAAGACACTTCGCAACTCTGCTAGAGCGGGCATTTGAGGGCGGCATAACCATTTCATTTATTTAGAATATATCTCTAATCTTAACCAAAAACAACCGCAACTGCATGTCAAGTTCTGCTGCATTCGGCCAGTGTTGAAAGAATGAAATATGACGGCACAAAGTAACCAGACAAGTCGTAACCGCTCCCACGTGGGTGTCGTAAGATGGCCGCCCTAGATTCTGCGAAACTTGCCGTCCCTTTGACCCGACGCTGCGCGTCTGCTCGACGTGCTGAAGCGGTGGATGTCCCCGCGGTCCCATTTACCTATGCACCGACGATTTGACGATGTGGCTATAATAGGCGAGGACTGAAGCCGATTCCGAGACAATGCAATAAAGCTTGTACAGAATGTCTACGACTTTGTCTTCACTTTGTTGTTCTTTTATTCTGTGGTAACGATTTGTGCGCACTAAACAGATTTCTGCATGTAGCACCGCGAGTACCTGTCCCTTTTTTTACAGGGTGTGTACAATGCTCATCCGTATCAAAACGGGGAAGATTTCCAGGTTCTGCAGCGCAAGCTTTCGCTTCACAAACTAAGCTGTGGTGCGGCTCCACCACCGATTGCCACTTCCATACTCCAAGCATGTTTTCAGGTTTGAGCCGTTATTCTCTAGAGATTGTGTAATGAATTTATGTCTGGCCATATAAATGCTGCAGGTGTCAAAACTACGGATTCGAGAAGACTTTGGTGGATGGCCTTTTCGTGTCGTCCGCCGTTCAAAAGCGGTGGTCTCGCCGGCCCCACTCACCAATGGCTGGAATGTTGATGCAGAGGGCACTGGACAGCTTGAGGAATGTCTTTCCCAGCTCGTAGACGTTTACCTGGACAACATCACTCAGGTCCAGTAACATGTCTGCCAAACGAGTCAAGGAAAGCTCACAGCAGAACCTTGCTCGTATTAATGGATACAAACACTTTCAATGTCGCAGAGGCACGCACAAGGTATCTTGCAGTGTTGCCAGATGGAGAAAAAAAAAGTCAGCAGATTGATCCCCAAAAAGTCAGTAGATTTGCACAAAAATCAGTAGATTCCACGAAATATGTGTTTTGCCATGTTTTGCTATCTCCATTAATAAACACTTCGAAGAAATAGTATAGAGTAACATGGTAATAAACACAAATAAAAATGAAAGAAAAAAACAAGACCAGTTCTCGAGTAACTTTATATGAAGGACAAATTAAAATGGCTCCATAAATGTTTTTGTTTTAGTCATTATTGACTGTTTCGAGGATTATTCTTTGAAATCGAGACTGCGGCACTTTTGGGATCACAGATGAAGGCGACAGTACGACGTTCACCTGTCGCTATTATTGAAACGAAACCAAAACAAGACGCTCCGGCAAGTGCGCGCGAACATGTCCAATGGAAGTCCTCTGCATGCTGCCATCTTTCCTTACTGGGCTGTGGAAGGTTTTTGAAGCAACGCTGTTGGTCCGGAGCACTGTTGAGGCTACGCGTCTGCTACGGGCTTATTTCTTTTTCGCCTGACTCAAAGTTTGTGTTCAAACGTGGAGAAACCTCATTTGTTAGCTTTTTAAGCCACCGAGGATTATATCATTTTCTTGCCACAGTATGCCAAATAAAAGAAAATAACTGAAATTTGGATGTCGATCCCATGCAATCCGCCGAACGAATGCATGAAAATTGCGGCTCTCTCCGCTCAACTCGAAGCTATTCTAGTAGATTGTATAGACCATTCCATTTAGCGCTCTCTGGGCGGCACCATTTTGTTCGACCGCAGCGCCCTCTCCACACATCCGGGAAGTTCAGCGGGTTTGGCGGGATAAAACGAGAGAGAGAGGGCACGCCGCCGACTCCGCTAGCAGACGACAAACCGGGAGGTTGCCGTTCTCCATCTTTGGGCTGTATCGGCGGGCTCTACCGAACACCGAACTCTCGCTCGTGGCTGCCGTTGTGAAGTGGTTCGCGTTCTTAGATTAGTTGTGGCTACTCCAAAATCAGCCTATAGCTCTCTGTTGTTCTATTTTGCTAAATGATAAACTAGCATATTTTTTTCCGTTACTTAAATAGCAGTTGAGTCAGCCGGCAATACTACCCCCAACTACTGCGTGTATTGCGTCAGGAGAGCACGTTTTTATTTATTATTTTAGACTTCCACTTATGGTCGCTAAAGGCCTACACCAGTACGAACTTTTGTATAGTAAAAAAGGTACAGCAACCGGATTTTCTTTTCGCCAAAGAAACCGGCCAATCTGACACAGTTTTCCCTATTTTTGTTTTTTATTTGCATGCAGGTAACAGTGCAATTGGACCCTGTGAGTCTTTTTATCTAGCATAGTATAGACCCTTTCCGAAATTCAGTGCCATCTGGTGGCTGAAATGGCGGTTTAACTTTTGCCATACGAATGGCGGCAATGAAACCATAGCCTGCAGTATTTTATCGGGCACCGTCACTTTTGCATGTCAACGGCAGACGAGAATAAACTTTTCGCTATCCAGGTTTTTCTGGATCATCTCTTCCAGTGTCGATTCCCACAACGATGCAACCAGTCAGAACAAAGCGCCAACCCAGGCAGACGCCTTGATAAAGTTCTATAAGTCAAGGGGTTTCGAAGTCGATTTTGTGCCACTAACAGGTTCACTGGGCTCGAATTAGAGAAATGAACACTTACGCAGCGCTTGCATTCAATTCCGGTTTCGCAACGCGCTAACATCTAGAATGTATAGGCCTCGAATCCTCAGCTTAGGAGTATCTTCAACATGTTCCTTCATCAGTAAATCGAAAGCCGCCATTGGTATGGCACATATGCCATTTTTCAGATGATGATGATAGTGATCAAAGTGGCCAGACTGAATTTCGGAAAGGGTCTATTACACGATAACTGGCATACCGAAATCTGCGCATCTGCGCTTGAAAGTTCCAAAATGACGTGATTTTAAACAGAGTTTGCACGCCAGCCGGACGCTATACTCCGTTTCACCTTCAGTCCGAGCGCAGTGGACGCCACGAGCCATCCCAGCCGATCCTGCGCCGGGAGAATGTCGCGTGACCTGCCGGTGGGGCGGGGCGACACAGGGAGCTCAAGGTCGCATGACACTCCCTCAACGTCGCATTGGCTGGGAGGGCTCCTAGCGTCCGCTGTGCTCGGACGGAAGGTGAAACGGAGTATAGCTACAGCTCACTCGGCGGAGCGGACGGCATGCAGGGGAGAGGGGGAGTGCATTTTTTTTCTCTTTTACCCTCTCTGTTATGACCCTAAGTTCAGGCGCATACGCAAACACCTCTCGCTCCGCGCCGCGGGCTGATTGGCTCACTCAAGAGAAGGACGTTACGGCGAGATCATAGGCTAGCCAAACTCTCTCCATATATGGCTCTGGCCCGGATGTCACCGTCGAACCTGCACAACCTGCCAAACCTGGTCTCACTCGAATAGGACGGGCTTCTGGGCCATCTAGCCAGTGCTTCGTTTTTAATTCTGGGACATTATGAGTTTCCTTTGATGGACGACACTGGGAACTGAAGGGGCCATATAATAAATTTTTAATATGTTTACTAAAAAAAGTCAGTAGATTTTCTTGTTTTTCAGTGAATCAGTAGACCCGGAACAAAATCAGTAGATCTACTGATAAATCAGTAGACCTGGCAACACTGGTATCTTGAAAGGGGGAACGAAAATAATATGGTAACCACTGCAATCAAACTTTTTTTTTTTTTTTTTTTTTTTTTTTAGAGCAATTGCATTTTTGTTTAGAAGCAGAACTTGCAGAGTTTGAGTAGCAGGTGGGCAAAATTTGTAATACAAATTTTCCCGGGCTTCTTGCCCTAGCACCCTTGTAAACTGCTTAAAAACATAACTAAATGAGATAAGTGCAAACAGCCTCTTCAATAACTAGTGATGTATACACGACAGTGAAATTATATAAAAACAGAAACACATAACTCATTATTTCCATTTACACACAGAGTAAACCCATAAAAAATAATAATAGTAACTGTGTGCACAGAAACACACAAAGTCGGTCCTGCCAAAGCCACACATTTAAATATTGAGAGAAGAAACTTTATAAAAGCCTAATGAGATCCAGAACGTTGGGTTCCTACTCCTACGGCCGGCGTATCGATGTCGTAATATCGATAAAAACATTTTTAAAAAACGGAACTGGGCACTTTACCGAAATTGCGCGCGGTCGGTCAAACAACAAAAATTAAAAATAAAATCTAAAACATCGCTTTTTTTTTGTTCGAAGTCAATTGGTTTTGAACGGACACGTGCACCATCGGCAAGTTTCGGTTGGCCCCGACACCAACCAATCGGACGTTGCACCGCATTCCGCCATTTTGTTCTTACGATCAGAATCGGACATCCCTGGACATCCCAGACGGTAGAAAAGACGCTGCGAGTTCTGTCAGAGCCATGGGAAGGAAATACAGCACTTTGCACCAGTATCGAGGCAGACGCAAGCGAAAGCGTTCCAAGCCCAACGTAACCACTCAAGCGACTCAAGTACCGCCGGAATCCAACGACAGCGCGGTCGTGGCCGTCGAACCCCCATTCAACGGCGGTGACACGCCAGGGTCTGAAACTTCCGACAACGCGGCCCGTGCAAGCAACGACGACGACCTACAAGAAACTAACGCTCCAGCCGACGAAAGTTACATCATAGCGAGCCTAGAAGCCATCAACAGCCTTCTAGGACACGTCAAGTGCGCGTCGTGCGGTGGTGGCGACGTGAAAATAGTGAAAGGCGACCGCATGTACGGTCTTGTAGCCAAGCTGACGCTCTACTGCGAAATCTGCGAGGACCTGGCGACTCAGTGGAGTTCCCCCCGGGTGGATGGACCGGCAAAGAGCAGGGCTTTCGAGGTGAACGTCCTCAATGATTTGGCGCGGGTCAAGCTCAAGAAGTGGCAGAGGGAACTGGACAGCGTCTACGACGCGGTGGGAATTGCCCACTCCAAGAAGACCTCCAAGTCTGGAAGCGCACGTCGAAAACGCGCGGCGGAAAAATTAAAAGCCGGTCGCGTCTCGAAGACACCTTGATGGCTCTAGGTTTCAAAACACCTGCAGTTCGCGTCTGTTTCCCAGGGCTGAGGGGAGGGAGGGAGGGAGGGAGGGAGGGGGGGGGGGGGGGGGGGGGTGAAGCAGAAACTTTGAAAGTTTCCCCCCTGGCTATGCCACTGGTGGGTTACCTTGAGCCGCCAAAACCCTCTACTCTACTAGTGCCAAGAGGAGAACCAGAACCAATACTCGAAGCACTATGTCGACAGGCGCAGCAGTTATTTCGACAGTCGTGGACAGAGTTTGGGGACTTTTACGCAGTTGCTATCGGACTGGTGCACCATGCGTGCAAACTTGAAATTGCACGGACTTTCCCACACGAGCAGACATGGCGGCGGTCAGTTGCCTTGCTTGCAATCGTCTATACATCCTGTTAAATACACCTACCAATCTTTTATATAGTTTAGCCAAATATAAAGGGCAACTTTATAATCATATCCTAGATATGATTATGAAGTCACCTACTTACTCAAATTGGCCGTGAATATGCCATCGAGCATTCCTCGCTCTATTGGGCAGCTTGTTGATATCTTTGGTGAAAGCAGTCGAACCATAGATGGGTTAAACACTGCTCCCATATCCTTATAATGAGTACATGTCCTTCCCCGACATCCCTTAGCTTGTGCCAACGAACAAGATTGACACGCTGCAGTAGTAGTGGACCCCCGCAATGCTAGCCAGACCTATTCACAATTCAGAGCGCAAGTTTGTCTGCTTCTTTTGCAGGTGACGTCAGAACACCGAGCTCTTATTGTCTCTGCTTGAAGGATAGTTAATAGACCTCAAAGCAAGCTGCCTTCAGGTCTACCCACTATCCTTCGATCAGAGCTC